AACTCCGCAACCTGAGACATGAATCTAGTCCCTTCCTTTGGCGAAACGAGAAACGAAAATACAACGTCCAGGAGTTGACAAAATGCCTTTTCTTCGAACTTGTTGAGTGACTTGATATCTGCATACATTTGCTCCTCTGGTGGAACTTTTGAGAAATAAAAAGTGCTCATTTTGAGTAGAAAACGTAACTTATATTTCGACTTGCTGTTTTTCTCATGGAGATATCGCCTGCGATTAGACAGTGTTACTGCATCCAAAGCAGCTTTGGCTTGGTTACTTTGCTGGAGACCTGGTCACTAAGCCATGATTCACATGTGAGAAAAGAAGAAAATATCATGGTTCTTTTAGACAACGATGGGGTGAGAATTTTCTCATTTTCAGCCTTTGTCCTAATGATTTCATGTAACAGATCTCTGGTTAATCTCATTTTGCATTTAACTTTTTAATTTCTCTATTTTGTATTCCTGGAATGTAAACGTATTTGAGGAAGGAGTCGTTACTCTGATACCTTTCCTTCGATTCACGCGCATCAGTGACTTCTTTCTTTGTGTTTAGTTTCTCAACCAACTTACACATCTTCTTCAAAGAACAAGGACCTCAGGATCAGTAAATATCACTATGAAAAGATGTAAGTTTGTAACTTATGTAATTTAAATTTCACTTCTCAGCTGTTTTCGAGTCTAGCTGAAATCCTATACGTGATCAGCTGCAGTCAAAAGGAATATTTGTTCAAGGCACAGTTTACAGAAACAAGCTGTTTACAAATTGTTCCAATTTCTGGATTCGGTACAATGATTAAGTTGAAATCTACTGAGGTCGGACCAACTGGATAGTGCGGAAAATTCGAAAAATATGAATACCACATGAGGCAGAGAATGAAATCCTGATACGTTAGTGTACACTGTATAATGTAATCTGTATGATGTCTGTAGCTACTTGCATTCTAGACTCGGTAAGTCTGTCCCTTTCCTGTCTGAGTAAAGGAGATTTGACTGTTGTTGAGAATGTTCTTACTGTTTATAATCACACTGCTAATGATGGTCTATCAGTTGAGGCTGGAGATATCATCTTTTTGTAGTCATGATATTTTTTGGATATCCATTTGTTGTCCTAAAATCATTGATTTTGTTTGAAACAGATCATGGTCAAACCAAGCCAAAACCCAAACCACGAGGTACAAAAAAACTACAAAAATTGACAGCTGTTGAGCATGAAGGAGAAAGTAAATGTCTTTTCAGAGCAACTAATGGCAAAAAGAAACTTAGTACAGTGGTAAGAGGAAAAATCTTTGATTTACTGCTGAATTTGTGATCTCTTGGAAGAAACAGATGATGAGATTAGATGAACAGATTAGATGATTGTGTGTGAAACCCTGTCACTGTGACCACCTTTTAAGCCATGAAACTGTGGTTGTAGAATATGAAGGAAAAGACCGAGATTTAGATTTGGACAGAATAGTTGGTCAAAGTGATACGGTAGTGTTATTATTGAGGTGGACATACATGAAAGACCTTGTTCCACTGGAGTATCAGAGAGCCAACGTTAGCCTCCCCGCAGACGTCCTTTGGGGTTCGTTTGTCACGCATTCATTTCTCCCCCACGGACGTCTGCTAAACACAGCCGACATTTACGTTCTGGATTGTTTGAATAAGCCAATAAGCGGTTAGTTATTGTGTCAAGATCAGCCAATCACGTGCTGTGATATAAGTGAAACGGCACCTTACGAATTATTTCTCGCTTTTTTAGAGGAATATTTATTCCATGCCTATGCATGGATGAGACTCCGAAGAAAGTTATAAGAAGCAAATTTTTTTGTTTTCTTTGCAGCTGTAATTTAGGAAAGGACCAAGTTCGTGTGTTTAGAAAAAGCGCAGTCGACATCGCAAGGCTCATCAAACGTGCTCTGGACGTTGATGTGTCTTTGTATTCTCAAGTGAATTATTTATTTGCACAACTATCTTCTACCTGAGACGACTCAAACGTTTTGAAAAATTCACAGAAACGATGCAATAAAGCTGCAGTCAGATGTATAGTTGTTTCGGAAGTTGTGACTATAAAATAATCTGTTTTTCTTTGAAAGACTTCAGACAACAGTCTCCCACACGAGCGCGGAGCGGTTTTCAGCGCGGTCGAAAACAATAATTACTATTAACTCTGTATATATTCGAAGTATTAAGAAAAGAGCACTTGTAAACGTGTATAGGGAAGATATTCAAATCATTCTTCGAAAACAAAGGCCGTTTCCTTTTTTGCGAAATGTAAGTACACCAAGGTCATGGGTCGCGGACCAAGGACCAGTACGCGAAATTTGGTTGTATTTTTTTAAGAGTCGGTAAAACAAAAAATTCGAAGTCTACAGCAATGTGCTTCCAACGGCTGAAAAAGGTTTATCTGAAAACTTGTTCTGCAAAAAGGCACGTCTTCCCGTTGCGGATATTTATTCACAAGCTATAAAGTAAACATGACCACGGTGCCGCCGAAGTCCAAACTTCAAACTAGAACGACAAATTAACCTACCTGTCAACAAACTTTAATCTCGCTCCTTCAAAGAAAGAAGGAATGCTTATAATCAATAAATCATTGAACCTTTCATTGTTCATTGTATTTTATTTCTCGACGAAATATTTAATCATGCTCGGGAAAGTCGCCGACCAAGGACCACATACTAACCGTACAAGTCACTCGCTAACATTTTCTCCATCGATCGATCTTCAACCAAGCTTCTGGGCTTCCGTAAACAACAGAGAAAGTCCCTCTCTCGACAACCCTCATATTCTCTTTGCTAATATCACTGAGCGTTACAGCAGGAATACCAATANTTTATCTTATTCCTTTGCAGGCATATGCAAGTGTACTTAAGGCAAATATGGATAATCTAAAGAAAAGGGACAGGAAAACAGAAAAGAGTAAAGCTAAAAAGTCTAAGGCAACCCAGTAAATAGTTTTATTTTCTTAATTATTTTATATCAGAACTGTGTTTGGGTAGTGCCTGTTTTCCAAAGCAGGTGAACATTACATGAGGCATAGCGGAGAGCGGAGAGCGGAGATATTAACTTCGTATTCCAAAAATTGTACATCAAATCATAATTTAAGTGTATGAATAAAATCTAGGAAAATGAGTTAAAAAGTATCTGGAACTTTTTACTTGCAATAACTTTAATTTATTTAAAATACATCTTTAAACAAAGCTCTAAGTCATTTGAATAAAATACACATCTTATGAAGTGAAATACTTTAGGTGAAGTCACACAGAGAGTAATCATAAATTCTTAATTGCTAGATTGCAGACCTTAAAAAACTTCTCAAGGTACTTTGTCTTGCTCCTAGGATACCATTTTATTCTTTCTAATTTACTGAACTGGCGTTAAGCATACATGTACATATTGTAGCAATTTTGCAGCATTTAGCTAAGCACACTTTGCAACACCAAACAATGAAGTTGAAGGAATACTTGTAAAACAGTCTTCAGCTTATTTGAAGAAACTCTCAAGTGAGAGTTACTGACATTTCTATGATCATTTTATTCCACTTTACACTCAGCGTAACTGATAAATTTCTACGAATGTGTACATGGCTGCCAAGGCTACTGCTTATGGTCCACTTTCAACTGTCTTTACTTCAGATGGAAGTGGAGAGCACTTCCTTCCATTCCGCCCTTCCACAAATGTGATGTAGTTAATGTATCTGACAAAGAAAACAGAGAGAAAGGTACATGTGTATGAGCCATTTTTTTCAAGCAAGGTAGCTAATTATTGTTGATTAAGCTAGCATAATTTTTTTTCTTTGATCCAGGTTGTTGAGTAGTGTGTAACTGTCACTGGGAGGGCTCTCTTAAATGGTTGACCTTAAGGTTGAAAGCCCTCAGTCCGTATGCTCTATGGTGACCAAAGTGAAAAGCTGCTGAAAATTCTAAACTTCAGTTTTGTAAAATCCTGACAAAATAAATAGTACTAAGTAAAAGTAATGCCAAAGAGGTTTTATTTGAAAGGCAACACCATAAGATTTCATCCACAGACTCAAAAGTTAGTACCATGGTAAGTGATGCTTAAGATGTTTCATTTGAATAGTTATACCATTGCTCATTTCAATGTTGGAAGAATTCATTATAAGTACATATTGTTCTATACTTACTTGTCAAGGTAGTTGATTGTCAGTGCATCGGGATGCTTTTTAGTGAGTTTGATCCACTCACTGCTTAAGCTGTGCCTCCAGGAAAAGACTTCAACAGTCCATCCTTTTTCCAGTGCTTTCATGGCACATCCAGGGAAACTAGTGTCACATTCGGATTTGCCCTTCATTCCATCTCCTGTAGCCAGTACCAATACACCAGGAGGGAGCTCACACAAGGCCTGTGGTTCATAAAAAACATCGAGTTACATCTTTGTTCGTAACTAGTCAGTAACGTGTATGCATGTTGATAAAGCTTGTCAAAAAATCTAGCCATGACTCAAATGATCACCATTCAGTCTCAAGGGGTTGGGGCTACTCTACTTGTAGTAATGTTTATAATGGTGTTTGCCATCCATTTGGGGTCAGGATTTTGGAACTACTGATCTAGAACATCTTTGAGACTTTGCCATGTATGGGGCATATTGATTTGAAATGCACATTAGTTTCCAGAAGGAAGATTTATAGTAAAATTTTTGTCACCTTATAAATCCAAAGGTGAAGGCTTTCATCTACTCTTTGCTCATCCTTCCCTCTTCTCTCTTCCAGATCAACAATGTATCCCAAGCGTCTGATCATAAAATGCAAACAATAATTATATTATGCTAAGAAACATGAAACAATAGATGGTGGGAACCACTGTGGTGTGGGAGTATTGGACTGAGTGAATGAGCTGTAGAATCTTTTTTCATTTATGTGACATAGGCAGTCACAGTCATGTCATCTGAAGCGACTATTTGAGGTTTAACAGTATGATTGTCACTTGTTTACAGTCATATCAGTCCAATTTAATTGATAACTGAAATCTGCCCTGACCTACCTGTAAACTTCCCACACATGTTCTGTTGCTGGAGGACTAGAGCCACCTGCAAACCCTCTGGTCTTTGTTCTTTCCTTTTCAAGAATCCTAACCAAATTTTGCAACTTAACCCGCACATGTCGCTTGCGGTCTCCTGTGTTGACCATACTGGCACATTCCTGAGCACCAATATAAATATTGCTGTTGTCAATGGCAACCACCATTCCAAATAAGGAGTGTGTTTTAGAGTCTTTTGGAACTTCCTGATCAGAATATTGAACCTCAGATGTTGAAGTAGAAGGTGGAGCACCTTCGTTAGAGGCATCTAAACATTCTAAAGTTTGTTTTTTGTATGTGTGAAGTACAGGTGTTGTCAGAGTGTTATCTGATAATGTACGGTATGTTAAACTTGTTGTTCTATCACGGAATTGGACATGATCCTTGTCTATGCCATTCTGTAATTCTTGTTTGTTCTCGCTTCTGTTGAAGTCATTCAAAGGAGATGCTTCTCCTTCCAGTTTTCCAATCTGGGTGTATTCTTCACAAGTTTCATCCAGTTGTTCTCTCGACACATGGAATGATTGTTGTTCTTTAGGAGGGAGCCTGTCACTTTCACAGGTTGAATTAATTGAATAGAACCTTGGTAAAATCAAGTCTTTGATCACCAGACAGTTTTGTTGCCTGGGAGTTTCTTTGTTAGGTGCTATTTCCAGGTAATGTGACTCCACACTGTCCACATTAGAAGCTTTTGCCAGATGAGAAGTGCTCTCCAAACTGCACCAAAGATGATTGCCAGGTGGCTGATGTTTCAGAATTGCATCATAATCATCTTTGGTTGCTTCTGTCTGAAACTGCGGCAGTTCAAAGGCTGATTCCCCAGACAGGTCTACCGATTGCAGATACCTTATGTAAATGAAAATAAAACATCAAACTTGCTATAACTGTGGTAACTCTAATCGTTGCATTTGCTTAATGAGGTTTTTTTTTACTATAACTACTAGAATCCTTTAGTCTGTTGTGTTTTTGAGGAAAGAAGGTCTATTATATAATTTGTTGCTTGCTTGTTGAGTTTCTTTTTCTTTACAGTCCTTTGCTAATTAGTGGGTACACTGCATTGTTAAATAGAGTATGTAACAAAGAATTACCTCCATATAAGAACAAATGAAATGGCCAACACTCCTGCTATCATTCCAAGTATGAACGTGTATGTAGGTACTACAATGACCTTGAATATTGTCACACCAGACTGAATCACTGTAGTGGTGTTGTCTCCTGAAATTATAAATTAATAATATTATTTTTATTCATTAATACCAATATCACAGATCTTGTCTAAAGCAGGCTTTGAGAATGAACGCAGCACATATGTTATTGAACTTTTACAACCTCTTAAAGGGGATTGGAGAGACTTGAAAATAAGAAAGTGGTGGACTTTTAACTTACCGTCTCTCAAAGTCATGACAAGAGCAGGTCTTGAGAAAGGAGAACAAGCTCCAGGGGATACCCCACATGCCCTCAATTTGACTTCGTACCCTGACCAAGGTTTCAGACGCTTGGCAATGTACATGACATCCACTCCCGAATACTCCAGCTCAGTGTCTATGAACAGTTCATAGTGATCAATCTCTACTTTGTTGGAGTGCACTCGGCACCATGTGATCCGTATCTCCGTTGAACTGATAGCTGTGACATTTGGTACAACTGGTCTTTCTGGAGACTTGACCCCTGCAGTTGCACAGATCACAGTATAAGACAATGTCTTGAAATAAAGGATTTCTTAAGTATTCAGTTAGTTTGGCACTAGTTGCAGGTACAGATAGAGAGTGATAAAACAACAAAACATACACTAAACAGCAGGGCCGAGCTGTTCAAAGCTGGGTTAAGATAACCCAGGGTTAGTACGAAATTTGAATTCAGATATGAAAGCTTAAAAAGTAAATTCAGTTTAATTCTTTTTGTCAACAAGTTGATAATTGGATGCTCTAAAAAATAACAGAGAAAATTATCTGAGAAAATGCTTTTGACCAAAAGAAAAAGAAACCCAGGTTAAATCTAACCCTTGGTTAAGCGCTAATCGGCCTTTGAACAACTGGGCCCAGGAACATATCACAATCTTTCACCAGCCTTATTCCCATTTCATTCCTCTCCCATCCTGTAGTGTGTGATAGAGGATAGACAGCAGAGATACACTGGGGACGAGGTTGACTTTTTTTTTGCATAAATATTACATAACCCACACATAGTCGTTTATGCAAGACAGGTTGGTAAACCTGTGCTAAAACGACTTTAGCCCTCCTTCAATGTGACTATTTTTGGGTCAAGAAATGGAAAGTAACGCAACAACACTGACACAGACAAAAAACCGTGCCAACTCAGGGCAAAGATCGGTTGAAACGAACAACATTTTCAAGATTATCTGATGAAATTTTTGGTTAAGTTAAAACGCATATTTTCTTGAGGAGCAAGTTTAAGCTGTTGAGATCAATCTTTTATCAGAGAATTCGATTCCTCTTTTTTATTGTCTCACTCGGTCCATTGTTTGATAGAGGAATCTCGGAATCTCTTCCGGGGGCAAAGCTGTTTAACAGCGCGTGACCTTAATATTTTGTGTGGGTTTAAAGAAGTAGAAAACTGTAAGAGGAAAGGTTACATGTAATTTACCTTAAACCGAATCGGAAAATTCACTTAGCTATGATATCACTTTGAACTGGTAAAAGCTTTGAAGTCTAGAAAACGATGTTGGGAAGATACCCGCTGAAATGTCCAGAGTCTAAAATACCCCAATTTTCGTCCGTGATTATTAAATCATTTTCACCAGACTATAGGCGGCGTGTGCTTAAAATGTGCTCAAAAATCAATAGCTAAGTCAAAACAATACGTGTTCTTCTCACCTGCAGTATAATCTACCTCTGATAGTAGAAAGACGAAAATAAAAGCCAATACAATCATGCCCGACCAGACGTGCGATAACTCTCCTATACACACACCTCAGAGAAATCCGTGGTTTAAAATAACGCCTTGCTTTATGCTATAAGCACTTTAAACGTTTGTCCTCGTCCATAGAGTTCAAAGTCAGAACAAGCATTATCGAAATGTTTGTTTCCAGCAACACAGAATTAATAGTTTTATACGTGATGGTCGCATGATATCGCTATGCCATATTTGTTTGGTAGAGTATTCACTATTTGCGTACCCCAGGGGTGGTTCGTAAGGTCTCCTGATCTTTGCCAGCCAATAGTATTCTTCGAAGCGAGACAGTCATTCCTCGGTTTCGGGTATCACTCGAAGATTGAAGAAAAGACAAAAAAAAAAAATTAATCAAATATTAATTACTTTTTGGAAGCTTGACAGATTTCCGTTCGTGGTAAAGATCTATAAATCTCTAAAGTTTCCGTTGCTTGTGTAAAAGGAACCTTTTTCAAAGCACGTCTACGTCACTCTGAAAAACTTATGCAACTCAAGCAAATGAAAATAATTTTCCCCGGAATTTTCCAACATAAAATGACACAACAATAATTTTTTAAAAACCACTTTTGAAAGAAACTAATAAATATGCAGATGTCAATGCAATGCTGAACAATGGTCAACCGTTCCTTAGTTTTTCAACTTCGAGTGGCTTATCGTTTTCCGATCAGGTGTGCGTTTTTCAAAACTGTCAATTTTCTCACCTATTTTTGAACGATCCTACAGAGTTTTTGTACAAAGTGGGCCTACATCATACCTCTCGATATTGTAACGCTTTTTAATTTTCCATCAGAAATTTATGGAAAATCTCATTTCTGCTACAAATGATCCTCGTGCACTATAGAAGTAGTTTTTTGTTAGGGGGGGGGGGGGGGGGGGGGTAACGGGAGATCAGGCCCAATTCCATGCGTTCTCTCTTACGTAGTCGCTTACTTCGAGTCGTTTTTACTCCCTCAATAACGTGAGACGTAAGTTTCGTTACTGAGGGAGTACTATCGACTCGAAGTAATCTTCTGTAATTCAGGCTAATTTGGTATTCATTTGCTCTCTTAAATATAGAAACGAGATGGCTTCAGGTTGTATTTCGGACTCGCTATCACACTCCAGGTCTTTTGGGGAGTTTAAGTTTACTCAAGGTTAAGGCTCGCTGATCTGTTTTTATTTCAAGAAGTGTTTTCATAGTACAAGTTTTGAAATGTGTTCAAAGTTAACACCATATTATGATTTGACGGATGAGGAGGGTCGAGGGAGGAATGTCAAGAACATTATATTCGTTTGGAAAGAATTATGTTCAAAGTACACATGATCAGGTCGAGATCTCAGAACTTTGATTTTGTTGAACAGAGACGGGAAAGCTATCATCAAGTTTAATATTCAAGATTGGGTTTCCTTTGGCCACTTGCTGAACATTGTATGACGTAACTATTGATTTAATCTGTCGCAAACTCTTTCAGGACCACGAGCTCACAACGGCAACGTACTTAGAAATAAATAATTCAGCAGTTTATTAATTACTTAGAAATCGTTCCCAGTTGTTTACTTTTTATTCTTATTTACTTTACTGTAATGCACTAGCAAATGGACTTTACACTTTCACAGTTAAAGCTTCGTGATAAGAGTTAGCTGTATTATATTTAAACTTTGAGGTCTACAAATGTCAAACAAAAGCTCCGTTTTACACTGTTTCTGTTTCACCGTTTACGACAGAAATAACAAAATGTGGCTTCTTCCGGTTTGGTCACGCGAGGGATGAAGGACACAGGCAACCCAAGCTCACTGTGAAAGTAGTGAATAAGTAATTAAAAGTTGCAGAGTAATGACAAAGGAAACATTTGACGCAGGACTCGTGTCATTTCAGGACTCAGCTTACGGGCTTCCTTGAGAGCAATATATATTTGCTAGAGTGAGAGAGTGGTTGAGAAAATGACAAACCAGATGAGGATAAGCACGAGCGAGCCTAGCCTGTGAGCAAGCTCTCATATTTGGGCGAGAGAAGCGAGCCGCGCGAGCGAGCAGCGAAGCCGCCCCCGCTTGCTTTCGCGTCTTCTCTCGCGTGCCTTTCGTACGTCTACTTTTCACGATATTCCCAAGATGGAGAGCTTGCTCGCAGGCTAGAGCGAGCCGGGTCACCCCTTTCCCTCTTATTTTTTGCGCTTTGCTCAGACCACCGAGTTCTAAGCACACGCGTTTTATTTCCTGTGCTTTGCACGAGATATGGCTAGAAATAGGTCGATAGCCAGCTACAGGGAACGAACGTGCACAGCTTTGACGGCAGAACCTAGGAACATATCCTCGAACTCCTCCTCCTCATCCTTATCATCATCGTAGTCGTCATCATCAGCGTCACAGAGCATCATCATCGTCATTATCGTCATCACCATTATTATCACAATCATAACCATCATCATCATCATCATCATCAACAACCTCTTCGTCATCCTTTAGCGTTCATCGCAATGCTTGGCACCACTGTCTCCCAACACCGTGCGCTTCTGCATGGCGGACATGAGATAACTATCTTTCACCATCACATAAGTGAGTGATATCTGGCCCGACAGTAAATAATGTAGCCAAATCTTGACTGCCGTCTCAGTCTGAAACAAATTACGCAAAAAAGTCAGGTAATTGTATCATGAAACGCTCTGTCTATCTTTTCCACTTGTTCTTGCTTTTTTGCAGCACAGCATTTCAATGTTCAGAGGCTGTCAGAGTTGAAGATGTCTTCAGTTAATAACTGATCTGACGGCAATTCCTATCAAATATTTCAAAAGACTCATCATTTCAGCCCCTGACATTCTAGGCCTCTTTGGGTCGAAAGAGGCTGGGGAAAGGAAAAAAGCGCGCTGAGGAGGATGGGAAGGGGGAAGAGAGGAAGCAAGGCAGGCATGCCCCGCGCGCTTGCTATTTTTATTGGGATATATATACCGGGATACCTAGCGGGAACCTCTGAGAGGATTCTAACTACTTAAATTACAACAACGACGTCTTCTCAGTCATGTTACCCTAAGTGTCTGAAAAAATAACGAAAATAACCAAAAAAAAAAATTAACAAACCAACAAACAACTAAAACAAAATCACTGCCCTCAGCGAACATTTTCTTACCTCAGACAGAAGTAGACATATTTGACGTCATCACTACAACGTAGCCTTAACAAGAGTGAGGTAATGCACCAAGTGGAATCTGCAGTTTTGAAGAATAAAAAGGAGTAGCTAAGATTAGAAACTGGACAGAGGTGTAGACATATCCACTAAAACGTTTAAAGAAACGACCCAAAACAGTGCGAAATATTTGTAGAGGCAAACAGCCCAATCTCCAAGTTGACAGCCGTGAAATCACGTGCATGTACCCTATTGCACAGCTTATTGTAAACGAAGGTTTTATTACAGGCTGTCAGAGTTGAGGATGTCTTCAGTTAACAACTGATCTGACGGCAATTCCTATCAAATATTATATAATGACTCATCATTTCAGCCTCTGAGAACTACCGGTAAATGCACAAAAGTCACAAGAAAGTTTGGTGTTTAAATAAATTGTACTCTTACCATAAGACCAAGTCTCCTTCGCAGCCGTTATTAGGGTCGTCACTCGTCACGCAACGCTCCTCCCCACTAAATGGTCTCCTTCGCAGCCGTTATTAGGGTCGTCACTCGTCACGCAACGCTCGTCCCCACTAACGGCCGTTAGTGAGGAGGAGCGTTGCGTGACGAGTGACGACTCTAATAACGGCTGCGAAGGAGACTTCATAAGACCAAGTTTTGCCTTGCTTGCCATCCTTATCCGATTCTGACTAAAAAATAACAAAACAGTGGTCTGAGGATTAGCTTGAATTTCATTCACAAAACTGAATTCCCAAAATCAAGAAAGTGATTACATACCGTGTAAGCGAAAGACTCGCGTAAGACGTAAATAAAAGAAATGCCAGTATCTGTTAAGGCCGGTCAGTAATGCAAAAATAAATGGTAACAAGGTGTTTGGGTTAGTTAGTAATTCTGAAGGTCAGAAGGGGGAGGGGTGGGGTGCACTGGTAGAGGGTTCCAAGACTCTATAAAGAGATTCAATGGCAACAGCGTGCTTCATTTCCTTTTACTTGCATAGTTTCACCTTTGCCCTACTTCCTACTTCTTGTTCAGTTTCACTGCAAAAAATGTCTCTGATTTGGTTCTGACTTCCCACGTTGATTCCCTTTCACTAATGACCCCCGCACTTTCTCCATAACTGGTTCTTAGCACCCTGCTTCTCTTTCGTGCCTTTTGATGTCTCCTTCCCATTTGTTCCGTCTCCCCTCATCACTTTTATATCACGACTATTCAAGTAATAGATAAGAAAATAGAACACAATTCATTTGCTGTGAAATATATAGGGAATGCTGACTGGTAGCGGATCTCCTTTTCTCTTAAGGTGAAAAAGCTGCACAACAAGCAAAAAAGAGCCAACATTAAAACCAATATAACAACTATTTTATTCCGTAAAACGTAATTACAGTGAGTGGTGTGTCTGCATTTGCATGAATTTATACATTTAACTTTCCTCCTCGGATTCCACATCATCCTCATCGTAATCATCACCATCTTTATCATTTCCTTCTTCAGTCTCTTCCTCACTTTCTTCTTTGGATTCTGATTCTGAGGCTTCTTCCTCATCAAGATCTTCTTCCCAATTTTCCTACCAAAGAGAAACAGTTTTAATGTTATTAAAACGACCCTGATGTTCTTACCGTCTTCTTTGCCTAGAAAAGGGACGTTCAGATGCGACGACGGCGAAGCCAACGAGAACGTCAAAAAAGCAATAGGTTTGATCAGGAAAACAACAACTTTGCACGTGCAGCACACTTTTCGTACTTTCTTTGTCGTCGATACACGACTAGGACGTGACATTCGCACGACTACGACGTGACATTCCCTCATGCGACGTCTTAAGGAGGACGTAAACACACCACGACAGATTCCTCTATCTCCCCCTAAACTTGGGTGCAGACAGCAGTCCCTAAGAATTCAAATCCAGGGGAAGTCACATACATTTGAGATTTTACGCGAGTCGGAATAATCGCGACAGATTTTTAAAAAAGCGAAGTCTTTTAAATAGTGACGTTCTCGCTGCTGTCGCCGTTGTCGTTGCTAAAGCTCCCTAGTAACTGCACGGGACAGCTACTATAAAACTATTATTTTTATACGGTCTTGCCAGTGTCATAGTTACAGAAAATAAGTAAGAACATACATCGGATTCTGAGTCTTCGGCCTCAATAGGTACAAGTGGTTCTTCATCAGAGTCTATAAGGATAGAGAAAGAAAAATGGCGAAAAAGATATGTGTCACAATGACTTAACACAGCAGAAACAGTTAATATCATAGTGGAAAATACACCTGGTTTGCTATACAGTTATGATATTATCAGTTTTAGAAGGAAAAAGTGTTTTACTGAGTTTTCTGTAATGCATCAGTGTAAGACTCTGGAAAGCTGCTCACCGACCTTCCCTTACCCAACATTAACATTTACTTCTCACTTTGAGCAAAATCTTAGAGGAGGGGAGGGATAGGTGGGTACCTTCCTTTAATTTTATACTGGGCACACTCTTTTGTGTTAATCACTGTAGATATTTTTATTGTGAGGGCCTTCTTGGGTTAATTTTTGCTGGGTATGTGCCGCTGGCCTATCAAAACCTCTACCCCACAATTATAGACCCCATATTAGTCACTTTTGGGCAAATATAATTTTCACAATCCCAATTTAGTCACTAGCTGTTTATGCATCGACCTTATACAGCCTTTTAACTAAATCACCTTCAAATGAATTGACACCTTTGTTAAACTAAAATACAATAAAAATCTTCCCAATTTAAATCCCTACCAACCTAAATTTTCTAACCCCAAAATCCCGAAAATGTGCGACATCATTCTAGTAACTCTATTGACAATGCAACCCCATTATAGTCAATCCAGTCATGAAAATGTGACCCCATCCAGCAGCACATCCCCATGAGTGTATTGTTAGGACGAACCACCCTCCCCTCCCCCTCCCGGGATGTTGAGTGACCTAGACCTAAACCTAGCATTAACAGAAAAGTGCCTAGAATATCATATAGACAAGAACTAATGAAGATACATACGGCTTTCGGGCTGAAAAAATATTATCACTTTTACAGACCTTCCTCCTGATAGACAACTGATGGCCCAGGAATTGTATCATCTGCAGTGTTATAGCTCTGGGAATCCACCTACAAACAAAAAAATGTAAAAAAAATATTGGACCAAGGGAAACAAAAAATCTTAATATAAATAGGTGCAAAGCTCGTTTCCAAGAGACTGTCAGAGTTGAAGGTGTCTTCAGTTAATAACTGATCTGACGGCAATTCCTATCAAATATTGTAATGACTCATCACACAATCTTTGGAAACAAGCACACAGAGGAACGTGGTGCAGAAATATTAAGGGGATAACTCCTTATACTGGGCATTTATCAATTTGAAGGGATGTAAGAAACCCCATCCACACTAAAATGGAGCAAAGAACAGAAACCAGTGATGCGATCAACCTTTAATTGGTGGTATGCAAAATAATGCAACATGGGCCAACAGTCATTGGTACAAAATTAAAGTGGTGTTCCCCAACTAGGTAAGGTTAAGCTATTTTTATTTATACAACAACAAAAAGAGAACTGTGTCCAAACCTCCTTTGTAAGACTGTAACACATTTAGTACAAAAAAATTGGATCAATTTAGGTTTCAGAGAAACTGCCCACCTACCCCTCCCCTAAGCCAACATTTTCCCCTAAGTAAGAGGTAAGTGTTAATGTTAGCTTAGGCGAGGGGTAGGTGGGCAGTTTCCAGTAACATAAATTGATCCAAAAAATTCTTATAGTATGAGCCTTGGCACAGGAGGATGAACTGGAGAGTTAACCCTTTAAGTGCCAATAGTGACCAAGATGAATTTCCTCCTAACAATATCCATATACTGTCAACAGATAAGTTCTGAGAATTAATAAAATGATCACCCAAGTAAAAATGCCTTGATCTTTTATCCAATTCTCTCAACTAATTCTTTAAGGAAATGTATGGAGATCAGTTTGGAGAATTTGTATGTGGTTACTGGGGCTTAAAGGGTTAAAGCCATACCTGTGACAGCATCAAATCCAAACGACCTTGCAGTTTGCACAGTTTACCATAAGTGCTCACACGTGACTCCATCATGGCGTATAGTCCACCAAGGGTCTTCACGAGGTCTGGGACCTTAATAAAAAAAAGCAGAAAAAATATTACATTATTATTAACAGTCTAAGTGTTTGTGATGTGGCTCATTTTCATCCTTGGTTGCAATTTTATGTTCCCACATAATCAATATAATGCACTCTTTGACATCAAAGAGATAACATCTTACCGTCATTAAATAAGCCATATGAATACTTAAAATTTGTTTGATCCATAGCACTAATTGTGCTCCTCTAGAACAAATAAAGAAAAAAGCTGGATAAGTATACTTGACCACCATAAGACAAGGCTTCTATGGTAAGTTCTGAAGATACACTAAATAGTGAAAGGATGATTAGGTTAACAGCCTAGAAACAGCCAACTTTTCATGGCAGCAGTACTGGTTTCACTGCCAAATGGCAAAGTGGAACCAGTCGCTATAGTGGCAATGCAAAATGTTGGCTGTTTTCTCAGGCAACTAAATTTAAAATAACAAAGGAATGTACAAATGGGTTTAAAGGGACTAAGTGATTAAAGATTTTGTCTTAACTTCTCCGTTCTCCTTACAAGCAAACATGAGGCTACTTAAAATGGAGACTCCAGCAATACTTACCTCCAAGGCATGGCTTCAATCTTGTGAACAAGCTGCAAAAACAAATAAAAAACAAACAAATAAATGAACCCATCAACTTTGCAGCTACAATTTTGTCAGATTTCTATACAACAGAACAAAGGGGATCTGACAAAACAGTGAATAATAAAAAATGTCCAACAAACCTCTGTCAAGAATGGAACAGTGAGTGTGACTGGAAGTCCTTTAATTGTATTTTTCATGACTGTTTCCTTTTTTCCCCCTTGCCATAAAACATCCTGGAATAACAAAGAACAGTTGATCAGCCACACATTATAAGAGGCCTTCTAGAATAGTCAATGATTCATTTACGTTGAACAAGCATACAGTGTCTGGTCAAAAGGGGTGGGGGGGGGGGGGAGGGCACTTATTTAACAAAGGGTTCTTGACCAGGAGAGGAGCCATCTCCATGTTCTCTCTTTAATAAGGTGAAACTTTCTTTTGGCTAAATCTTTATAATAGAACTCTGCCAGCACATGCAGGTGATTGAACTAGAGCTGACTTGATGGTAAAGGAATTGTTTCCAGTAATACTGCTGCTGAATTTCACTTTTAAACAACTGTAGACGTGGGAAAAAAGAGAGAATTTTCTTGTGGTATCTTAATTTACTGTTTAAGAAGGCAAGGAGGGAGAGGTGTGCTTTTGTGCTAGTTTGGCCAAGCAGAAATGGTGATTTGTTGGGGAAGTGCACTTATTCCAGTATGGGCCCTTGTTGAAAGAGATTAGTATTCTTGCAGAGTATTATCATGTGTACCTCCAGTAGATTGTTATCTTGACTATGAAGAGCCTGTATTAACATCTGCACTAATGAATCAGCTGTCGGGGGACCACTTGCTTTTCTTCTAAAAAGAATAGGATACATTGTTTTGATACTCAACTGAAGGAGTTTTTAAAGACTATTGGGACCATTACTAGGTTGGATGAACAGAGTTTAAAAGCTTACAGACCCTCTCCATCTACTTTCAAGCTCGTAAAATTTGTTTTTGAACCATGATATCCACTTAGGTTCGGCAATTCTTGGCAGGGTCACTGCAACAGTGCATGGCACCAATATTACTGTAGGCCTGTAATAGTCCCTCCCCCATGAGAGATAGACTACCACACCAGGGACTAAGTCCCCTACTCTTTACAAACAGTGTAGATGGGTTCCTTAACGTCCCACAGAATTTATAGGTGCAAGGGTTGTGACACAGGGCCTATGCTTTATCAGCTTTATCCAAGAAAACTAGAAAGTCTAACCGTTTGCAAATGTCATTACCAAGGCAGCACTTTCTCCTCAGTTATTTGAAGACCCACAACTTAGACCCTAAGCCGGGGGTTTCAACTGGTGGCCTCTCGCTTAACAGACCAGCACTTATCCAACTGAGCTAATCTGGCATCGGTTGTATTATGAACTGGTTTAATATTTTAAGACTAGGGCAATTTTTTAAGTTTACTCAGTTTCTCTTCAGTTGTCTAAGAAACTGCTATAACTAAGTTCTGGTGTAAACATTACAAACAAAAAATCCCATAGAAATACAATCCATGTAGACCAACTGGTGAAGAATAAAATAATAATGCCTATAACATCATTATGACATTGTAGTCTCCATGCAGTACCTTTGTGTGTCAGCAGATGCTGTGTTTATTGCTTTTAACCTCTCCTCTATGCTCTGTAGATAATAACAACAATGATTTTGTTACTTAAATCCTTTACTTCCCAATAAGTAAGTAAGTAACAACTTCATTTAATGAGGATAGCACATGACAGTAAAAACTGATGAACTAGTGGCCCTTGAATAGTGACCAAAATCAAATTTCTCCTGACAATATCCACAAATCGTTTAGAGAAAAGGTTATAAGAATTGAATAAAAGGAAATGTATGGAAACTGGTCTGGTCTGAAAAATGATGAAGTCGCATGCATGGGAGATAATATAGTTTCTCACTACAAAAGAAAACAGATAAGGATGAAAACAACTATTGCTACTAATATTGCCACTGATAATAATAACCACAAAGGACAAGTAAAGCCTGAGTTGAAAGTTATCAGTGGTAATTTAATCCACTAAACTTGCCTGTTCTTCTGGTCTCACTCTTTCTTCACTTCTTTTTTTACCCTTTCCTTTTGTTCCTTTGGTTTGTCCCTCGTCAGCAGCAACAGAAGGTGTCGCTAATGCCATATTACCTGCACCAAGAGTTGTCATTGTTTGCCTTGAATTCTGACCTTTGGTCACTTGAAGTGATTCCTGAGTTCCATTATTGAGAAGTAGGTTTGATGAGTTTTCACGTATGAGACATGTGTGCTCTTCCATTGTTGAATAGGCCTACAATGAAAAAATGTTATTAATACTAAACTATTATCTGATTAGTATACCAGTTAAAGCTATTATGGAATAATATTGCTCTTTATATTTTTACACATAAAGCTGCTACTTTTTGAGTCTGAAAGTTTTAAAATCAAAGAGCTAAATACTTCTGGAGGCCATCAGAACATATTTCATGACAATGCTAATAGCTATATTCAGACGCTTGGCAATGTACATGACATCCACTCCCGAATACTCCAGCTCAGTGTCTATGAACAGTTCATAGTGATCAATCTCTACTTTGTTGGAGTGCACTCGGCACCATGTGATCCGTATCTCCGTTGAGCTGATAGCTGTGACATTTGGTACAACTGGTCTTTCTGGAGACTTGACCCCTACAGTCATGCAGATCACAGCATAAGACAATGTCTTGAAATAAAGGATTTCTTAAGTATTCAGTTAGTGTGGCAATAAGCACTAAACATACACTAAACAGCAGGACCATATCACAATCTTTTACCAGCCTTATTCCCATTTCATTCCTCTCCCATCCTCTAGTGTGCGAGAGAGGATAGAAAGCAGAGAGACAATGGGAACGAGGTTGACTTTTTTTGCATAAATATTACATAACCCACACGTAGTCGTTTGAGCAAGACAGGTTGGTAAACCTGTGCTAAAACGACTTTAGCCCTCCTTCAATGAGACTATTTTTGGGTCAAGAAATGGAAAGTAACGCAACAACACTGACACAGACAAAAAACCGTGCCAAGTCAGGGCAAAGATCGGTTGAAACGAACAACATTTTCAAGATTATCTAATGAAATTTTTGGTTAAGTTAAAACACATATTTTCTTGAGGAGCAAGTTTAATCTGTTGAGATCAATCTTTTATCAGAGAATTCGATTCCTCTTTTTTTATTGTCTCACTCGGTCCATTGTTTGATAGAGGAATCTCGGAATCTCTTCCGGGGGCAAAGCTGTTTAACAGCGCGTGACGTTAATATTTTGTGTGGGTTTAAAGAAGTAGAAAACTGTAAGAGGAAAGGTTACATGTAATTTACCTTAAACCGAATCGGAAAATTCACTTAGATATGATATCACTTTGAACTGGTAAAAGCTTTGAAGTCTAGAAAACGATGTTGGGAAGATACCCGCTGAAATGTCCAGAGTCTAAAATACCCCAATTTTCGTCCGTGATTATTAAATCATTTTCACCAGACTATAGGCGGCGTGTGCTTAAAATGTGCTCAAAAATCAATAGCTAAGTCAAAACAATACGTGTTCTTCTCACCTGCAGTATAATCTACCTCTGATAGTAGAAAGACGAAAATAAAAGCCAATACAATCATGCCCGACCAGACGTGCGATAACTCTCCTATACACACACCTCAGAGAAGTCCGTGGTTTAAAATAACGCCTTGCTTTATGCTATAAGCACTTTAAACGTTTGTCCTCGTCCATAGAGTTCAAAGTCAGAACAAGCATTATCGAAATGTTTGTTTCCAGCAACACAGAATTAATAGTTTTATACGTGATGGTCGCATGATATCGCTATGCCATATTTGTTTGGTAGAGTATTCACTATTTGCGTACCCCAGGGGTGGTTCGTAAGGTCTCCTGATCTTTGCCAGCCAATAGTATTCTTCGAAGCGAGACAGTCATTCCTCGGTTTCGGGTATCACTCGAAGAATGAAAAAAAGACAAAAAAAAAAAAAAATCAAATATTAATTACTTTTTGGAAGCTTGACAGATTTCCGTTCAAGGTAAAGATCTATAAATCTCCAAAGTTTCCGTTGCTTGTGTAAAAGGAACCTTTTTCAAAGCACGTCTACGTCACTCTGAAAAACTTATGCAACTCAAGCAAATGAAAATAATTTTCCCCGGAATTTTCCAACATAAAATGACACAACAATCATTTTTTAAAAACCACTTTTGAAAGAAACTAATAAATATGCAGATGTCAATGCAATGCTGAACAATGGTCAACCGTTCCTTAGCTTTTCAACTTCGAGTGGCTTATCGTTTTCCGATCAGGTGTGCGTTTTTCAAAACTGTCAATTTTCTCAGCTATTTTTGAACGATACTACAGAGTTTTTGTACAAAGTGGGCCTACATCATACCTCTCGATATTGTAACGCTTTTTAATTTTCCATCAGAAATTTATGGAAAATCTCATTTCTGCTACAAATGATCCTCGTGCACTATAGAAGTAGTTTTTTGTTAGGGGGGGGGGGGGGGGGGGTGTAACCGGAGATCAGGCCCAATTCCATGCGTTCTCTCTTACGTAGTCGCTTACTTCGAGTCGTTTTTACTCCCTCAATAACGTGAGACGTAAGTTTCGTTACTGAGGGAGTACTATCGAATCGAAGTAATCGTCTGTAATTCAGGCTAATTTGGTATTCATTTGCTCTCTTAAATATAGAAACGAGATGGCTTCAGGTTGTATTTCGGACTCGCTATCACACTCCAGGTCTTTTGGGGAGTTTAAGTTTACTCAAGGTTAAGGCTCGCTGATCTGTTTTTATTTCAAGAAGTGTTTTCATAGTACAAGTTTTGAAATGTGTTCAAAGTTAACACCATATTATGATTTGACGGATGAGGAGGGTCGAGGGAGGAATGTCAAGAACATTATATTCGTTTGGAAAGAATTATGTTCAAAGTACACATGATCAGGTCGAGATCTCAGAACTTTGATTTTGTTGAACAGAGACGGGAAAGCTATCATCAAGTTTAATATTCAAGATTGGGTTTCCTTTGGCCACTTGCTGAACATTGTATGACGTAACTATTGATTTAATCTGTCGCAAACTCTTTCAGGACCACGAGCTCACAACGGCAACGTACTTAGAAATAAATAATTCAGCAGTTTATTAATTACTTAGAAATCGTTCCCAGTTGTTTATTTTTTATTCTTATTTACTATACTGTAATGCACTAGCAAATGGACTTTACACTTTCACAGTTAAAGCTTCGTGATAAGAGTTAGCTGTATTATATTTAAACTTTGAGGTCTACAAATGTCAAACAAAAGCTCCGTTTTACACTGTTTCTGTTTCACCGTTTACGACAGAAATAACAAAATGTGGCTTCTTCCGGTTTGGTCACGCGAGGGATGAAGGACACAGGCAACCCAAGCTCACTGTGAAAGTAGTGAATAAGTAATTAAAAGTTGCAGAGTAATGACAAAGGAAACATTTGACGCAGGACTCGTGTCATTTCAGGACTCAGCTTACGGGCTTCCTTGAGAGCAATATATATTTGCTAGAGTGAGAGAGTGGTTGAGAAAATGACCCACCAGATGAGGATAAGCACGAGCGAGCCTAGCCTGTGAGCAAGCTCTCATATTTGGGCGAGAGAAGCGAGCCGCGCGAGCGAGCAGCGAAGCCGCCCCCGCTTGCTTTCGCGTCTTCTCTCGCGTGCCTTTCGTGCGTCTACTTTTCACGATATTCCCAAGATGGAGAGCTTGCTCGCAGGCTAGAGCGAGCCGGGTCACCCCTTTCCCTCTTATTTTTTGCGCTTTGCTCAGACCACCGAGTTCTAAGCACACGCGTTTTATTTCCTGTGCTTTGCACGAGATATGGCTAGAAATAGGTCGATAGCCAGCTACAGGGAACGAACGTGCACAGCTTTGACGGCAGAACCTAGGAACATATCCTCGAACTCCTCCTCCTCATCCTTATCATCATCGTAGTCGTCATCATCAGCGTCACAGAGCATCATCATCGTCATTATCGTCATCACCATTATTATCACAATCATAACCATCATCATCATCATCATCATCAACAACCTCTTCGTCATCCTTTAGCGTTCATCGCAATGCTTGGCACCACTGTCTCCCAACACCGTGCGCTTCTGCATGGCGGACATGAGATAACTATCTTTCACCATCACATAAGTGAGTGATATCTGGCTCGACAGTAAATAATGTAGCCAAATCTTGACTGCCGTCTCAGTCTGAAACAAATTACGCAAAAAAGTCAGGTAATTGTAACATGAAACGCTCTGTCTATCTTTTCCATTTGTTTTTGCTTTTTTGCAGCACAGTATTTCAATGTTCAGAGGCTGTCAGAGTTGAAGATGTCTTCAGTCAATAACTGATCTGACGGCAATTCCTATCAAATATTATAATGACTCATCATTTCAGCCCCTGACATTCTGGGCCTCTCTGTGTCAGAGAGAGGCTGGGGAAAGGAAAAAAGCGCGCTGAGGAGGATGGGAAGGTGAAAGAGCGGAAGCAAGGCAGGCATGCCCCGCGCGCTTGCTATTTTTATTGGGATATATATACTGGGATACCTAGCGGGAACCTCTGAGAGCATTCTAACTACTTAAATTACAACAACGACGTCTTCCCAGTCATGTTACCCTAAGTGTCTGAAAAAAAATAACGAAAATAACCAAAAAAAAAAAAATTAACAAACAAACAAACAACTAAAACGAAATCACTGCCCTCAGCGAACATTTTCTTACCTTAGACATAAGTAGACATATTTGACGTCATCACCACAAGGTAGCCTTAACAAGAGTGAGGTAATGTACTAAGAGGAATCTGCAGTTTTGAAGAATAAAAAGGAGTAGCTAAGATTAGAAACTGGACAGAGGTGTAGACATATCCACTGAAACGTTTAAAGAAACGACCCAAAACGGTACGAAATATTTGTAGAGGCAAACAGCCCAATCTCCAAGTTGACAGCCGTGAAATCACGTGCATGTACCCTATTGCACAGCTTATTTTAAACGAAGGTTTTATTAGAGGCTGTCAGAGTTGAGGATGTCTTCAGTTAATAACTGATCTGACGGCAATTCCTATCAAATATTATAATGACTCATCATTTCAGCCTCTGAGAACTACTGGTAAATGCACAAAAGTCACACGAAAGTTTGGTGTTTAAATAAATTGTACTCTTACCATAAGACCTAGTCTCCTTCGCAGCCGTTATTAGGGTCGTCACTCGTCACGCAACGCTCCTTCCCACTAAATGGTCTCCTTCGCAGCCGTTGTTAGGGTCGTCACTCGTCACGCAACGCTCATCCCCACTAACGGCCGTTAGTGGGGAGGAGCGTTGCGTGACGAGTGACGACCCTAATAACGGCTGCGAAGGAGACTACATAAGACCAAGTTTTGCCTTGCTTGCCATCCTTATCCAATTCTGACTAAAAAATAACAAAACAGTGGTCTGAGGATTAGCTTGAATTTCATTCACAAAACTGAACTCAAGGTCAAGAAAGTGATTACATACCGTGTAAGCGTAAGACTCTCGGAAGACGTAAATAAAAGAAATGCTGGTATCTGTAAAGGCCGGTCAGTAATGCAAAAGTAAATGGTCACAAGCTGTTTGGGTTAGTTTGTAATTCTGAAGATCAGAAGGAAGGGGTATTCGGAGGCAGTAAGAAGCGGGGAGGGGTGGGGTGCATTGGTAGGGGGTTCCAGGACTCTATAAAGTGTTAATTTCCATTTTTACTTTCATAGTTCCACCTTTGTCCTACTTCTTTTTCAGTTTCACTGCAAAAAAGGTCTCTGATTTGGTTTTCACTCATAGCCCCCCCTCACAACTATGTCCATAATTGGTGCTTAGCACCCAGCTTGTCTTTCGTGCCTTTTGATGTCTCCTGCCCATTTGATCCGTCTTCCCTCATCACTTTTATATCACGACTATTCAAGTAATAGATAAGAAAATAGAACACAATTCATTTGCTGTGAAATATCTGGGGAATGCTGACTGGTAGCGGATCTCCTTTTCTCTTAAGGTGAAAAAGCTGCGCAACAAGCAAAAAAGAGCCAAAATTAAAACCAATATAACAACTATTTTATTCCGTAAAACGTAATTACAGTGAGTGGTGTGTCTGCATTTGCATGAATTTATACATTTAACTTTCCTCCTCAGATTCCACATCATCCTCATCGTAATCATCAACATCATTATCATTTCCTGCTTCAGTCTCATCCTCACTTTCTTCCTTGGATTCTGATTCTGAGGCGTCTTCGTTATCAAGATCTTCTTCCCAATTTTCCTACAAAAGAGAAACAGTTTTAACGTTATTAAAACGACCCTGATGTTGTTACCGTCTTCTTTGCCTAGAAAAGGGACGATCAGATGCGACGACGGCGAAGCCAACGAGAACGTCAAGAAAGCAATAGGTTTTTTCAGCAAAACAACAACTTTGTACGTGCAGCACACTTTTCGTACTTTCTTTGTCGTCGCTGCACGACTACGACGTGGCATTCCCTCATGCGACGTTTTAAGGAGGACGTAAACACACCAGGACAGATTTCTCTTTCTCCCTCTAAACTTGGGTGCTGATAGCCTGCGTGGCAGGCGTTCGAAAGGGAAGGGAAAGGGAATTAGGGCGCGAGACCACGCGCGAGGGAGGAGGCAGGAGGGGAACGCGTTCCTTTACTTTCTCCCTCGCGCGCCCAAATTCCCCCTTACCCGATCCCCTTCCCCTTCCCCTTTTAACGCCTGCCACGCGGGCTAGGGTGTAGACAGCAGTCGCTAAGAATTCAAATCCAGGTGAAGTCACCTACATTTGAGATTTTACGCGAGTCGGAATAATCGCGACAGAGTTCGAAAAAAGCGAAGTCTTTTAAATGAAGACGTTCTCGCTACTGTCGCCGTCGTCGTTGCTAAAGCTCCCTAGTAACTGCACGCGACAGCTACTATAAAAACTATTATTTTTATACGGTCTTCCAGTGTCACAGTTACAAGAAATAAGTAAGAACATACATCGGATTCTGAGTCTTCGGCCTCAATAGGTACAAGTGGTTCCTCATCGGAGTCTATAAGGATAGAGAAAGAAAAATGGCAAAAACGATATGTGTCACAATGACTTAACATAGCAGAAACAGTTAATATCATAATGAAAAATACACCTGATTTGCTACACAGTTATAATACTATCTGTTTTAGAAGGAAAAACAGTGTTTTACTGCGTTTTCTGTAATGCATCAGTGTAAGACTCTGGAAAGCTGCTCACCGACCTTCCCTAACCCAACATTAACATTTACTTCTCACTTTGAGCAAAATCTTAGATTAGGGGAGGGATAGGTGGGTAGCTTCCTTGACTTTCATACTGGGCACACTCTTTTGTGTTAATCACTGTAGATACTTTTATTGTGAGGGCCTTCTTGGGTTAATTTTTGCTGGGTATGTGCCGCTGACCTATCAAAACCTCTTCCCCCCAATTACAGACCCCATCTTAGTCACTTTAGGGCAAATGTTATTTTCACAATCCCAATTTAGTCACTATCTGTTTATGCATCTACCTTATCAGCCTTTTAACTAAATCGCCTTCAATTGAATTGACACCTTTGTTAAACTAAAATACAGTAAAAATCTTCCCAATTTAAATCCCTACCAACCTAAATTTTCTAACCCCAAAATCCCGAAAATGTGCGACATCATTCTAGTAACTCTATTGACAATGCAACCCCATTATAGTCAATCCAGTCATGAAAATGTGACCCCATCCAGCAGCACATCCCCATGAGTGTATTGTTAGGACGAACCACCCTCCCCTCCCCCTCCCGGGATGTTGAGTGACCTAGACCNTCTATTGACAATGCAACCCCATTATAGTCAATCCAGTCATGAAAATGTGACCCCATCCAGCAGCACATCCCCATGAGTGTATTGTTAGGACGAACCACCCTCCCCTCCCCCTCCCGGGATGTTGAGTGACCTAGACCCAGACCTAGCATTAACAGAAAAGTGCCTAGAATATCATATAGACAAGAACTAATGAAGATAAATAAGGCCCTCGGGCTCAAAAAATATTATCACTATTTCAGACCTTCCTCCTGATAGACAACTGATGGTCCAGGAATTTTATCATCTGCAGTGTTATAGCTCTGGGAATCCACCTACAAACAAAAAAATATAAAAAAATATTGGACCAAGAGAAACAGAAAATCTTAATAAAAATAGGTGCAAAGCTCATTTCCAAGAGACTGTCAGAGTAGAAGGTGTCTTCAGCTAATAACTGATCTGACGGCAATTCCTATCAAATATTATAATGACTCATCATACATCCTTGGAAACAAGCACACAGAGGAAAGTGGTGCAGAAATATTAAGGGGATAACTCCTTATGCTGGGCTTTAATCAATTTTAAAGGATTTAAGAAACCCCACCTACACTACCATGGAGAAAAGGACAGAAACCAATGATGCGGCCAACCTTTAATTGGTGGTATGCAAAATAACGCAACATGGACCAACAGTTATTGGCACAAAATTGAAGTGGTGTTTCCCCACCAGGTAAGGTTAAGCTATTTTTATTTATACAGTAATGAAACAAGAACTGTGTTCAAACCTCCTATGTAAGACTGTGACACATTCAGTACAAAAAAATTGGATCAATATAGGGTTCTGAGAAACTGCCCACCTACCCCTCTCCTAAGCCAAAATTTTGCCCTAAGTAAGAGGTAAGTGTTAATGTTAGTTTAGGGGAGGGGTAGGTGGGCAGTTTCCAGTAACCTAAATTGACCCAAAAAATTCTTATAGCATGAGCCTTGGCACAGGAGGATGAACTGGAGAGTTAACCCTTTAAGTGCCAATAGTGACCAAGATGAATTTTCTCCTAACAATATCCATACACTGTCAACAGATAAGTTCTGAGAATTAATAAAATGATCACCCAAGTAAAAATGCCTTGATCTTTTGTCAAATTCTCTCAACTAATTCTTTCAGGAATTTGAATGTATGGAGATCAGTTTGAAGAATTTGTATGTGGTTACTGGGGCTTAAAGGGTTAAAGCCATACCTGTGACAGCATCAAATCCAAACGACCTTGCAGTTTGCATAGTTTACCATAAGTGCTCACACGTGACTCCATCATGGCGTATAGTCCACCAAGGGTCTTCACAAGGTCTGGGACCTTAATAAAAAAAAAGCGGAAAAAATATTACATTATTATTAACAGACTAAGTGTATGTGATGCGGTTCATTTTCATCCTTGGTTGCAATTTCACGTTCCCACGTGATCAATATAATGCACTCTTTTACATCAAAGAGATAACATCTTACCGTCATTAAATAAGCCATATGAGTACTTAAAATTTGTTTGATCCATAGCACTAATTGTGCTCCTCTAGAACAAATAAAGAAAAAAGCTGGATAAGTACACTTGACTACCATAAGACAAGGCTTCTATGGTAAGTTCTGAAGATACAATAAACAGTGAAAGGGTGGTTATGTTATTAGCCTGAGAAAACAGCCAAATTTTCATGGCAGCAGTACCGGTTTCACTACCAAATGCCAAAGTGGAACCAGTAGCTATAGTGGCAATGCAAAATGTTGGCTGTTTTCTTAGGCAACTAAACTTAAATTAATGAAGGAATGCACAGATGGGTTTAGAGGGACCAAGTGTTTAAAGATTTTGTGTTAAATTCTCCCTTCACCATACAAGCAAGCATGAGGCTATTTAAAATTGAGACTCTAGCAATACTTACCTCCAAGGCATGGCTTCAATCTTGTGAACAAGCTGCAAAAATAAATAAATAAAAAACAACAAACAAACAAATAAATGAATAAATGAATCCACCAACTTTGCAGCTACAATTTTGTCATATTTCTATGCAACAGAACACAGGAGATCTGACAAAACAGTGAATAATAAAAGATGTCCAACAAACCTCTGTCAAGAATGGAACAGTGAGTGTGACTGGAAGTCCTTTAATTGTATTTTTCATAACTGTTTCCTTTTTTCCCCCTTGCCATAAAACATCCTGGAATAACAAAGAACAGTTGATCACCCATACATTCTAAGGGGCCTTCTAGAATAGTCGATGATTAATTTACCTCTAACAAGCATCCAGTATCTGGTCAGAAGGGGTGGGGGTGGTGGAGGGGAGAGGGCACTTATTTAATAGAGGGTTCTTGATCAGAAGAGGAGCCATCTCCAAGTTCTCTCTTTAATAAAGTGAAACGTTCTTTTGGCTAGATCTTTATAATAGGACTCTGCCAGCACATGCAGATGAATGTAACTGGAGCTGACTTGATGGAAAAAAACTGCTCCAGCAATATTGCTGGCCAATTTCACTTTTAAACAATTATAGCAGTGAGAAAAGAGAGAAACGTTTCTTGTGGTATCTTAATTTACTGTTTAAGAAAGCAAGGAAGAAGAGGGGTGCTTATGTGCTAGTTTGGCCAAGCGGGAAGGGTGATTTGTTGGGGAAGCACACTTATTACAGTATGGGCCCTTATTGAAGGAGATTAACACATTCCTGCAGTGTATTATCATACTTACCTCTAGTAGATTGTTATCTTGACTATGAAGAGCCTGTATTAACATCTGCACTAATGAATCAGCTGTTGGGGGACCACTTGCTTTTCTTCTAAAAAGGATAGCATACATTATTTTGATACTCAACTGAAGAAGTTTTTAAAGACTATTGTTAATTAAAAGATCATCACTCTTGTGTTGTTTACGGGGACCATTACTAGGTTGGATGAACAGAGTTTAAAAGCATACAGACCCTCTCCATGTACTTTCAAGATGGTAAAATTTGTCTTTCAATCATATATGATGTATCTACTTAGGTTTGGGCAATTGTTGGCAGGGTCACTGCAACAGTGCATGGCACCAATATTACTGTGGGCCTGTAATAGTCCCTCCCCCCATGAGAGATAGACTACCACACCAGGGACCATGTCCCCTACTCTTTACAAACAGTGTACATGGGTTCCTTCATGTCTCACAGAATTTATAGGTGTAAGGGTTGTGAGACAGGGCCCATGCTTTATCAGCTTTATCCAAGAAGACTAGAAAGTCTAACCATTTGCAAATGCCATTACAAAGGCAGCACTTCAGGCCCGTAACCAGGATTTTATGTGGGGGGGTGCTAACGAGGCCAAAGTGGACCAAACTACCGAAATGTATTTTTTATTGTCTGATCCGTTTATTTAGGGAAGTAGCAATACATGAGAAATTGTAACGGCAAAGTACATGGTAGGAACTGAATATTACATTTGTCGAATACAACTGTTTGAATTAAGTTATAGAGGAGTAATTTTACGATGTAAAATGATACATCAAAATACTGCGGAACTAATCCCTCAGAATAGTCCTGAGCTCCAGCCTCCGTGGGTGTCTGGTGGCAAACAGATTTACCACCTCATCCAAAACAATTTTAGCTTGATAATGTATGTGCTTTAGTGCGAGGGACGACAGCCTTTCCTGGCCCATGCATGCCCTGTTATATGTATGCAGCCGCCTTAAAAAACTCGCACTTCTTTCACATTCACAGCTCATTGTAGGGATTGTGGTGCATATCTTGAGGAGCGCATATATATTTGGAAAGAGATCATCATCGCACTCCTTAAGCGTGCGCATGTTAATTTCATTATTCATTTAGATAAGCTGGGACATCTGTACGCTCATTGAAATGTTCTGAATGACTCGGGCTACTAGAGTGCAGCTGGTTTTATTTTCCCAGTGAATACACTACTACTTTTTCCATTCTTTGATTTTGTTTAAATATCACTGTTAAGTTTGAAACTTCAGTTTAACCGACTGCACTCCTTAACTTGGATATTGAGAATCAAAATGCGGACCTTTGGGGCCTGTGGGGAGGGTGCGAACGCACCCCGTGCACCCCCCCCCTGGTTACGGGCCTGCACTTTCTCCTCAGTTATTTGAAGACCCACAACTTAGACCCTACGCTGGGGGTATCAACTGGTGGCCTCTCACTTGGCAGACCAGCACTTATCCAACTGAGCTAATCGGACATCCATTGTATTATGAACTCGTTTAATATTTTAAGACTTGGGTAATTTTTTAAGTTTACTTAGTTTCTCTTCAGTTGTCTTGGAAACTGCTCTAACTCAGTTGTGGTGTAAAGATAACAAACAAAAAATCCCATAGAAATAAAACCCATGTAGACCAACTGGTGAAGAATAAAATAATAATGCTTATAACATCATTATGACATGGTAGACTCCATACAGTACCTTTGTGTTTCAGCAGATGCTGTGTTTATTGCTTTTAACCTCTCCTCTATGCTCTGTAGATAAATCACAACAATGACTTTGTTACTTAAATCCTTTACTTCCCAATAGTGACCAAAATCAATTTTCTCCCAACAATATCAACAAATTATCACGAGAAAAGGTTATGAGAATTGAATAAAAGGAAATGTATGGAAACTGGTCAGTTCTGTCTGAAAAATGATAAAGTGTCATGCATGGGAGAGAAAATAGTTTCTCATTTCGAAAGACTCATCAACAGATGAGGATGAAAACAACTATCGCTACCAATATTGCTACTGATAATAATAACCACAAAGGATAAATAAAGCCTGAGTTAAAAGTTATAAGTGGTAATTTTAATCCACTAAACTTGCCTGTTCTTCTGGTCTCACTCTTTCTTCACTTCTTTTTTTACCCTTTCCTTTTGTTCCTTTTGTTTGTCCCTCTTCAGCAGCAACAGAAGGTGTCGCTAATGCCATATTACCCGCACCAAGAGTTGTCAATGTTTGCCTTGAATTCTGACCTTTGGTCACTTGAAGTGATTCCTGAGTTCCATTATTGAGAAGTAGGTTTGACGAGTTTTCACGTATGAGACAAGTGTGCTCTTCCATTGTTGAATAGGCCTACAAGGAAAAAATGTTATTAATACTAAACTATTATCTGATTAGTATACCAGTTAAAGCTATCATGGAATAATATTGCTCTTTATATTTTTACACATAAAGCTGCTACTTTTTGAGTCTGAAAGTTTTAAAATCAAAGAGCTAAATACTTCTGGAGGCCATCAGAACATATTTCATGACAATGCTAATAGCTATTGCTTCTAATGGTCAATTATCAATAAGCAATGACACAAGTTGCTGCTTAGAGGACTATCATTAATGTTCATGTAATTCTTGTTGGAGTCATTTCTCATGTAACTCTTGCTGGCAAGGTTGTCAGAAAGTGCCAAAGTATGCCCCATTCTTAAAGCAGGTGGCTAATTTAGCCATCTTTTATGAAAGAATCAGAGAGAAGCCAAGCAAAGACATGGAGTAGGTGTTGATTTTTGAACGTTACCAGCTCTTTTTGACAACCCCAGCTATTCCTTTAGCCAGGCAACTTCTTGCTTATCTTAGTTAATGATTTTGTTCCAGGATGACTTGTCTGGACCCCCATTGGGGAATTGAGCTTTAAAAGTTACTTGCCCAGAGAGGAAAGTTTACCAGAAAGGACTTCTTTTGAGCCCTGTTTGGTTTACTTGGATTAGTATGTTCAGTTCTTACCAAAGTTTCAAACTGTGGTTTTACAGTCGAACCAAATGCAACTTGCACTGAAGGCTCTGCTTCAGCTAGCAATCGGATACACATCACGGGTATAGGTGATGGTGTTCCATCCTACCAAACAAAAACAACGTAACGATTAGCATAATATAAAATAAAAATGTAATTTGACTGAAAATCCTTTTCAGTTCGAACCTTTTGATTGCAACTGTTAACAGGTATTAAAAAGGCTAAGGTAATTTGAGTATCAGCGCAGTCAGTTATGATTTCAAGTTGCTGGGTAAATGCCATTACAATAAGTGGTAGGGGGGGGGAAAGGGGGGGAGGGGGCAAGTGAACAGCTAGGAACTTCATTTGGTTCTATTACCCCTTCATTTCCTATGAAAGTAGTTGGGGGTCATGCTCATAGTAGTGGGAGGAAATCCCAGGCCTCCTTAGTCCCAAGAGTGACCAGAGTCAATTTTCTCCCAACAGTGTTAATACATAATCAAGAGAAAATGCTGTGAGAATTAATGAAATGATCACCTGATGGGAAAGGCTTTGATCTACAAACAAATTCTCTTCACCAGTTCTTTAAGGAAATGTATGGAGCTTAGTCTAGAGAATTTGTAGTTGGATATTGGGGCTTAAAGGGTTAAGTGACAGTGCTAAGTACACAAAATTAATGTCACCATTGACAGCATGCTTTTTGGCCAGCACTTGGTGGCTGAAAGATTTTGTAAGCGTTTTTTGCAGAGTAGTGGAGTGGTCAGTGCATTGGATTCGCAATCAAGAGCTCCTGGGTTTGAGACCTGCTCTGGCCACTTGCTGGATTTGTTCTTGGTTGTCCAAAGTTCAAATCCTCTGCCATGCTTGTAAACTGCCAACTGGTTGCCTCCAGCCAGTTGGGGTTTTTAATCCTGTTACCTTGTACTTGAATTTTTTGTTTCGAAGTATTTAAATGGAGTGCCTCAGTGTTACCTAGCTGGATAAGCTAAGTGCACTTTCCACTATAAATAAACCTTTATGGAACCCTGTCTCATCAACCATGTCTAAGAACTGAAGATGCTGAGCATGGGTTCAACGAAAATAAATAAAATTAAGAAATGAATTACTTTTTTTAAATACCTTTTTCTCAGAACCGGTTAGCTGAATAGTTCTCGTTGGTCTTAGGGGCTTTTTAACACCCCTGAAATTGAAAGAGAAAGACATATGTTAAAAGGTCTACTCAACGATAAGACAGGTTAAGGAGGAGCTGAATTTATGAAGAAAAAAAAATTAAGGAACAGTTCACAGATCAGACTTCTCTAAGTGCCAGGGAATTACTGGACAAAGGTTTAGTTCTTTTCTCAGCAAAATGCAATGAAGCATTTTTGTCAAGAGTGTGGCTCTATCAGCCACTGCCAAGAAAACCGTAGGAAGGATATATAAGCAACTCACCCATTTAGTGAATATTCGAAAATATGTATTTGTCCATCTTTTGAGACTACAGCAATGTGAACAGGCTGAAAAAAAAAAAATCAACACTGTATTTTATGTTTGTTATACAGAGACATGTTCCAGTATCACCCAGAGGCCAATGGTGCCTTACTGTTGGCATTAGGCAACAAGGGAATGTTATCTTTTGCACGAAACTTATACGGTAGACACCCTGGAATCATGGATTTAGAGCTTGAGGCTCCATACACTGTACAGTTTTTCTTAGTCAACTTTTTATAATGTTGATCAATGCCACATAAATGATATTTCATAATATATCAAAACTCTCTGATTTCTTTACCCTATCCCAAACTAGCCTGCTTAAAATCCCCTCCCCTTCACAGCGGCACATACGTGTACCTATATAGCCCATACCTTGCAGTTCCCCTTGCCCCTTATATAGAGATCAACCACACCAACATTTGTGCAGCCTTATTATACCACACTTACAAGAAGATACTTTTTTTACCTTGTCTTGATTGCTGTGGCGTATGACATCAACTACAATGGGTTCGTCTGTGAGAGAAAGTGAAACTAATGCATTTTTGTTATGAGCTTCCAAGTTAACATACCTGCAAGAAAATACAAATTTTACTAAGTGATTATTATTTAAATAATAATACTTTACTGAATTTTATGCCAGACTATCAAGATTCATATTAAAACTACTGAATTGTTATCATGATCATTCCCCCTAATTTGACCTTCAGCTGTTCAAAATGGAGTACAAATAGTATGAACTGCTTTGAAAAAACTTACCAGACATTCACAAGTCTGTCCTGTTCTGCTCCGGAAATGAAATAATTACCACTGATTCCATTACTCGGAATGTGGTTGGCGTTTGTGTCATGTGACAAGGAACTTGGTATAAATGAGAGATATGTCACTGGTGTTGCATGACCTGTAAATTTCTTCAGACAGGAAAGAAATAAAAGACACTTTCAGTCTCGCCTAATTTTAGTTTGTTAAAATAAAACTTTTAGGCACAAAATTTAAAGGATACAGTTGACTGATTTGTTTCTTGTTACTATGACCACAGTCAGATAAATTAGTTTCTGGCCTCTAACAGTTTCCAGCCTTTACCTCATTATTAAATTCTCTTCCCTAGTGAGTGCCACTTATTCTCCCCCAAGATCTGGCAAAAAACATTGCGACTTCAAATGAAGTAATCCACTATTATGCAATTTGATTGTATCAGCCATAAAATCCCCTTTACAGGTGTGGACAACGTAGGTAAAATAATTATTGGTGAATACCATGTTCTTTGCCCAAGAGTCATTGCCATCATCTCATATATATTGCACTTTATCCTTGCCGTTCATTTTATATTTCTTACCCTTAGATTTTCTTTTGTCTCTAAATCCCATAATTTAATGCTTCTGCCAGCAGAGAGCAGTGTATCTCCCTTGGGACCAAGTTCAATGCACCTCACTCCATGTTTGTCAGCTTTCCACTTACTACAGAAGACAAAGCACAAGTTCATAAACAAGTTTGTTATTAACTTTAGAGAAGGGGCGTCACCACCCAGGCCCTCTTATTTTGCAGACACAAAATGAGGCCCTGCCAGCTCCCCTGAGCAAAATTCCTACACTCTTTCCAAGACTTGACTTTACTAACACTGTAGCCGGGGTACATTTGATGACCAGCCACTGCTCACAGAGGTCCAGTTTTTTTTCCCAAGAAATCATTTCGGGGATGAGAACTGGCCCAATTCCTGAACAGTGGCTACCAAGACTTGACTTTACTAACACTGTAGCCGGGGTACATTTGATGACCAGCCACTGCTCACAGAGGTCCAGTTTTTTTTCCCAAGAAATCATTTCGGGGATGAGAACTGGCCCAATTCCTGAACAGTGGCTAGTAATATTGAAACGAAAAGCAACCTAAAAAATGAAGCATAAATAAATAAGGAAGGCATCAAAGGTACCCATGAACTCAAGAGAGGGACTTATTAATGCAGCGAGCTCAGACCCTTAAAAAAAAATATTATGATAATAGGCATCTTACCATTTTCTCTGGCCATTTTCTGTGTTCCATTCTATTATATGTTTGTCATTTGAACAAGAATATAATGTGCTGTCATCTTCACTCCAACACACATCATTTACTCTGTTGTCATGACCACCTTCCTGAAAGATGATAAAAAAAATGTTGACTTGCAACGTATACACAGATCTGCACACATGTCATGCTTTACATGACTGTAAAGCGCCTTGAACATAGGATAAGAGTGCTATAGAAATAAAGTTATTATTATTATTATTAATTGCCCCCTTTCTTCATCCCTTTTAGTGCGACCCTCATCATCAACCAGCATAGTGGAACAAATGACATATCACAGCCACTGGAATTAAGAGGGGTGCAATCTGTTGGTCACATTCTGTCCGGCCTCCACAAGATTTTGCAAATTTTGGGGCAGAAATGGATTAGACACAAGAAAAAAAAGAGATTCTTACTAGTCTCTGGTTCACTTCTCCAGCAGCAATGTTATATACAAAAATATCCCCTGATGATGTTCCAAGAGCTATGGAATCAACAACTGAATCTGTCGTATTTTTTGCAGTCTTTTGCTTCTTCCTTCTTTGAACAACCTAACAAATAACAAAAATGCTTTATTTTAGCAACTTTCTGCAGTAGACCTCTCCTCGTAACACATTCGCACTTCTTTTCAGGTGTGAGAAATTGGCCTATGAGATCCAATTTTTTGATCTGCAGGTACAAGTGTTAGTCTCATGAATAAGGCATGGGTGTTAGCAGGTACACACGCAGTGAAGTTCTTCGTGACTGGGATTGTTTTTTTGATGCAGTTAAACCCCGCTTTATAGACACCAGCTTAACATGGATACCTCATTATTACAGACAGTTTGTATTGTCCCTGAGGAAAGAAAGTCCTTACATTTTCTCTACATTCAACCTGCTTAATATAGACACCAGGTTAATACGGACACTTCTTATGGCCCCCTCAGTGTCCATATCAACAGGGTGTCCGCATTAAGAGAAAAAGCACGGCTTTCTTCCCCCATGGACAAAGCAAACTGTACGTAATAATGAGGTGCCTGTATTATGTGGGTTTTTGTAAAGCAGGATTTGACTGTATAACAAGCATACAGAGGCAGATCCAGACCTTTAGATAAGGGGGGCCTGGTCTCAAAAAGATTTATTTTAGGACCGTCGGGCCTCAGTTTAGTCTAAAAATAAGAGCGGTGGAGGGGGAGGGGGGGGGGTTGATCTTTTCCTGGATCCACCACTGGCATACATTCTACCAAGTATCTGGTCATTTCATTCCACGGTCACTTTGTTCCAAGTCATTATTGTCCCATGACATTGCCACATCACATGGGGGTCTTTATTATGGAACTTTACAGTGCATCTTTTTATTGACCATTATTTGAAAAAGTTCATTATTGAGATTCCGCTGTCTATACATACAGTCTGACTAATGTTTGAACACCATTTTTGTTCTCTCAGACAAATCTCACATAATTTTCATCACCTACATGTTTCTTGGTGACATGGGCCACCAAGAGCTGGTATCAAGGAAATATCCTTTCAATGAAAAGTCACCAATCAAAACTAGAGGGTCAAGGGCTTTACAGAGCTCTTACAGTAGAATACTGTAAACGATAATTCTCTCTTTCGCAGATATTCTTAATGTTACGTTACATTTACATTAACGCATTTCTAATAAACTTAATATCGCATCTTTTCACGATTAGATGTAAAAATGATGGTCATTAAACTTAACTAATAAAATGACAAACTCCTGATAATTTATAAAATGCTTATCATCGGCAACTTTTTTTAGCATTAACAGTACAGATAAAAACAGAGAAAGGGATTGCGCTTTTTTAGCGTGTAATAAACACTGCGTGACTTGATTGTAAATTTGCTGAAATTTGCATGCATACGCATACAGGATACCTGAAGACAACGTAGAAATCTTTTAAATAAGAAATTACGTTGCATGGAACCTTTATTCTTCAATTGTACAGCACATTGCCATGCATGCGAGCGTCGAAGCAAACGCTAAAATATCAAGTCACGCTGTAAACAAAGACGGAGTCTTTCAAAACCAGAAATTACAAAATGCAGCTTAACAATCTCACTGGATGTTGGCGGGTTAGGGAATTTCTTCAAAACTAACGGATTTAAACCAAACATTGGTGAAAGAAATGTTATGCCTGACTCTAACAAAGGTTGAGCACTATATTTTACGCTTTGTCTACGCGTGAATTGTGCAGAGGAAATGACTATTTCGAGAAAACATGATCTATTTCTCCAGAGACTAAAATACTCACCGACGACCTTGAAGTTCGGCTCCAACGGAGGCATGTACAGGTCGTTGAAAGATGTGATGGCGATGTGTATTCATGCTTTAATGATCCGAAAGTACAATCCCATAACTTAAGGCGCCCATCTGGGGTTAAAAGTGCTAAAAATCGACCATTTTTATCAAAGGAACAACAACTACCTTCCATATTTCATACTCCATTTGCACGTGGGATCAGCAAATCTAGAACCCATTCCCCTTGGCAAACAATGGCAGAGAAAAGGAATGGGAATGATAAGAGATACTGGGCATGGGGATCGTCCATGGGGATCATTTTCAGAAATATTAAAGGTGAAATGCCAGTTCGGTCGAATCAGGAGCCCATGCCCATGGGTCATAGCTCCTGGTCAAATACATTACACTGACATTATACCAATTTATCACCTGGATCATGGGCTCCTGCTTGGATCAGTTAAAAAAAAAAACTCGAATACCAAAAGAAACTGACAAAGCATTTTGGGTCATTTAGACACTTTAGCGTGCCGCAAAGTGGTCGAGGTTGTCCATAGTTTGTCAGACATTTTTAGTTTTACATTTTTTTTCTCGAGACAGGAGTCCTGAAGGAGTTCTCAACGAGAAAAATTTCAAAAGTGATTGGATATCGCACCTAGTAATATTTTGATAGTCATTAATTAAGTGTTGCCAAGACTCCGTTACAACCAATGTCCGACTGCTGATATCATCAAGAGAGAAAGTCATTAAAAGGTACTTAATTCCAGACCCGGTTTTCGGAGGCCACAAAATCGCGAAAAGGGGTGAAAAGCTATGCATAACCTCTGGCGCTTCACATCTTATATTTTTGCATCTTATATAACCGGGGAGTACCTCTCTCCTGGGGAAGAATTTCTATTAAAAAGTAGCCTGCGAGCAAGCTCTCCTATTTGGGCGAGTTAAACGAGTCTCGCGAGAACGCGCGAGCGAGCGGCGAAGCCGCGAGGGGCAGAGGAAAGGAGAGCTTGCAACCATCCCTTACAAATTTTCATTTGTACTTCGCCCAGACGAAGGGAAATACGATTGGCTGAAAAATGACGTTCCGGAAATCAAAGTTGACTGATAACAGGCCAAGCTGGCACCCGCTTCGTCGGTGTGTCCAATTTGGTTCTCAAGGGGATCAGATTGGTACCGAGAACTTGTTTCAGCCCTCAATGCAGACGGACTCGTTTGATGTAATTCTCACAAAGAGAATATTGTGTGCCGAGGATAAGTCGGACCGAGATTGTAGTTCTTGTGGAGGGAAAATGAAAACCCTTCATCAGTTGTATTCATTTGTGTCAAGCGCCTCGTTTAGTTCTGAAAACCGGGAGAGTGAAGTGAAGAGTGATTCGCCCAATTGAATTCTACTGGGTAGAAAAATTCAGAAACGTGTACTTGACAGTGTAGCTGTGTAGCTTGATCGTAAAGAAGGAAAAGAGAAAGAGTTGGAAGCAACTGGAGTAAACCTTAAGAGAACCAAGTGCAGGAAAGCGCTATTCTCCAGTTCCAGACGGACAAATATATGATGTTTTTGTTGGTGATTGCGATGGGGAGTAGTCTTCTACACTGCAGTATGGAGGATTTTTCAAAAGTAAACGAAACGAAAATCAAAGTAGTGAGTTCTTATCCGAGCTGACACGTTGAAGTTCGATGTCCCCGTGAAAAAAAAAAAACATATAAGAGATTAAAAACATTGCTTTGATGCTGTTGCGAAAGCGATTTATAAATATATAATTCTACACGCCCTCGGCTGTCTAAACTTACTTGACAGGCGGTTGTCACTTTTCTAATCTGCGGCACGTTGGCGGTGGCAGTTTTCACGCTTTGCGGAGTCCCGGGATTTCCGGGATGGAAATGAAAATTTATGAGAGATGGTTGCAAGCTCTCCTTTCCACCGCCCCTCGCTCGCGCGTTCTCGCGAGGCTCGCTTCGCTTGCCCAAATAGGAGAGCTTGCTCGCAGGCTAATTAAAAAGCGGAGCTCTGGAGGAGCGCGTGAGTACCATAAAAAACCATGATAACCTGTCGCGTAGAAATTTTGGTACAGCGTGCGTGTCACTGTCCACCCTATCCATGTCCAATGTGAAATATTAAACACCCTCGAAGCCCTCGAAGTTACACGACCAGGGTACACGACCCTGTACACTTGCACTTTACTGCCGCATTTTGGCGGGAAATCGTGTAGGCGACCCGCGTTTTCGGCGGGAAATAGCAGTGACCAACGGCACTTTCAAAATAGCCGAAAACAGGAGCCCATCTGCCGAAAACAAGAAATCAAAAAGTGCAATGAATCAAGAGGAATCAGCTGAGCTCTCCGAAATTTTAATCCAGGTACAAACTTAGTCTCAGGGAAGTTGTCTGTCTTATTAGAGAGATTTATAGTCACGTTTACGGCAAACAGCAAACTTGAATTTGTATCTCGCGTGAACTAGTTTTCAGTTCGCTTATCGTTTACAGTTGATAAAACTCTTCATTTGAAAGGCTTGTTCAGTTGACCAAACTACTTAATTAATCTTATTTTGGCAGTACAATGCACTTGCAGTCGAGCTTATTTTCACGCGGAGTTTTGCTTGGTTTCTACGATTTTTTCCATTCAATCATCGGTGGTCTTCCTTAACTTCTTTACTTCTTATTTTTGCAAATATTGAGTGCCAAGGCTTTGACCACAAAGTACGCATTGAATTCTGCAAAGCTGATAGTACTAAGGGAAAATTTTAAAGCTTTACAAGACATCAACACAACACCGAAAGAACCCAAAACAGAGCGGGTTGTAGCAGTAGACAGTGCGTTGCAGGCGCATGGAAGTAGAGGGCGCAAGAAAGTACGGGCCCCGCGAGGGAGATACGCGTGTCTCTCTCGTGCGCCCGTTCGCGCCTGCTACGCAGCGAAGACAGCTGTTTCGACAGCTGTTTTAACCACAATCCCATGCGTGCGGTGGGCGCCAAATGAGAAAAATGTGGTTTCCCAAAATTAGTGCAAGTTGCTTCTCATGTCTTTCCGTTTGGTTAGTGTATATTTTCTTTCTTCGTTGTCGACACAAGAATAAGAAAATGACGAGGAAGATTATGTTTTACCCTGTTCGAATTCAGAAGCAGCGAGAGCTTTGTGCTGTCGCCCAACGCGATACTGGTTTTAGAAAGTCCATGAATCATGTGCCCTTCTTGACCTTACAATGATGTGTACAGTGCTTTTCAGGTAAGACCGTTCGATGAAATATTTAGTAACAGTTTGATAGTTCGTCCAATTAAACATCCCAACTGTAAGTGTCATGAGTACGTTTACATGTGTGACATGAAAACCTTCGTGCTCCATAAAAAATGTGCAAATTATGATCACCGCGTTGGAGCTCATCGATATCTCATCACACCTTGGTTTGTAAGTGTTCCCAGCGAAAACATGTATATTATTTTTCCTTTGGCTCTTTTCCGTGTTACTCTTCGGAATACTAAAGTGTAGAATATTCTGCAGCTACGCCAGCGTTGTGCAGTTACAGATGAAGAATGTGTGATCCAGTAGCTCAAGTGGATAGAGAGCCCGCCCGGTGTTTGGAAGGTCATAGGTTCGAATCCTGTCGGGGACTCAGATTTTTTCTTTGTCCCACGCTCGTGACATGCTGATTATTTCATTTTCACATTTGTTTCGCCGAGCTCAACATTTACCATCTTTCACCAATGTGTGACCTATTTTGTCCCTCCCATGAAGGTAGTCCAAAACAGTCTTGGACTCTGGATTCCACGCTATGAATTCCGGATTCCAGCTACTGGATTCTGGATTCCTCGTCTGTAACACTTTAATTCCGGATTATAATTTTTAGCAGGAATCTGGATGCCTTCAGCTAAATTTTGGATTCCAAAGCCCAGGGCCGGGTTGTTCAAAGCTGGGTTAAGATATCCCAGGGTTAGTGGGAAATTTGAATTCAAATATAAAGACTGAAAAAAGCAAATTCAGTTTATTTCTTTGTGTCGACAATGTGATGATTGGCTACACTAAAAAGAATAGAAAAAAATTGTCAGCGGAGATGCTTTTGGCAAAAGAAAGACAAACTGGAAATTAAAATTTAACGTTGGGTTAGCGCTAATCAACCTTCAAACAAATTGGGCCAGGATTCTAGCAAAGCTTTTCGCAATCTGGAATCCAGACTACCTTATATGAGGCAAAATCTTAAAAAATTCTCATACACTTGGTTTTCTGACAGTCACAGTGAGAGCATATATGGAATGAAAATATTTTTATTTGGGTGGGTAATCAAATGACCTCACTACCTTTACTGTGCAGCCACCTTGGGAAAGGGACAAGTGGCTGTTCGATAAAGGTTGCCCTCTCAAATAGAGTCTCTTCAGTGAATTGCTGATGTCTGCCTGGACATCAGTAACTGGCTGGTAAAGGGAAGGTACAGTGTAGCAGCTCAATAGAGGTTCAACTGTATTTATTGTCATTAAACAATAGGACTTGGAAGAAAAGGTGTCTATTTTGCCAGGATGTTTATAAAAAAGCCAAGGCCAGCTGAAAGTGAGAGGATAAAATATGTCCCTTGGCTGCAAATTGGGATGAAAAGTTTTGATTTGTGAGTTGATTCTCAATAAATACATGTCATGTCATACATTGATTCTTAATAAACACATGTCATCATACTTTTATTTACTAGATAACAATGTTGATTATCAGAAAGGTTCAGACAAGTATTTGCATGAAGTGCAAATTTTATTATTTGAAACAACCATTTCTTAGCATTCGAGTTGAGAGAATTACACGTACTTGTAAAGTAAACTAACTATTGTACATTACCTTATGATAAGACCCCTATGAATGTTCAAATTACTTTGATCTTCCACAGGTTAATATTACTTCATTCAAGAATGGTTCCTAATTCCTAATTATTACTATAAAGTTTCTGTTTCTTATTATATTAACTCTAAACCAATAAAACATTTTGAGTAAACAATTGAGGAAACATCTATGTTTCATTTTTAATGTCTACTTTTTTTTGCTTGTGACAAGATGGTCAACTAAACTAAACTTGACTAAAGTAAACTATTTTTTGTCAGAATTCTGATTATTTTGAAGTAAAGTTCTAAGGGTAAAACAAGTCTGTATAAGCACAATGTTGAGGTTGCACAAATGCTTGTGCATTCTAGGCACACCCATGGCATGATCTCAATTTAACAAATGGTGGAACTTACATCATGTAAAGCCTTTATGTTGTTTTGTACCCATTTTTACAATAACATTGAAAGTTTTTGAACTCCTGCTCTCTGGAAATGTTTCTTGGAGTATAACTACTGTGTATTTCAGGGTGCAAAGAAAGTCAGTTTTACAGTGTAGCCTTTGGGCAAGCTGTAGCCAGCAGTTAATATCCCAAAAGTCATCTCGTGTAGCCCCAAAACCGTTTTGACGAGCAGGATTGATTACACAGTTCTTCTGCAATTTGAATTCCTCAAAGAATTTCACTTGCCTGTTGGGCAATTTAAGAATAAAACTCACTAGCCCAATGGCAAAACAACACTAGTCCCGGGATATTGTTGCCAGTGTCTACACTCCCATAGACCCTAGCTCTAGACCTATGCCATTATTGTAATAAAATGTATAAATAATTATACCATAAAAAAGTTGCAACTTGTTTCTCAAACTGCATAATTAACACCACAAACCTTCCGATCTCACTTCTCTACTTCCAAGATGGAACGCAGGCCTAATAATATTATATTACTATTTATATTTCCTTGTGTATTAAACCTTTAACATAGAGCAATTATATTGTTTTTAGTACACCACCCTACTATGTACAAGAACCAAACAAAAACATTCTGAACATCTATCATGTTTGATTTTACAAATTGGCACACTTGTACTTGTAAGTAAAATAATAATATATGGACCAAAAAAGCATAGATATTAATTACAAAAGGTTAAGTTAAGGTACTTTTATGTAGGGGCTAGTCAAAGAGGTTTGTTTGGAGCCTTTGACCAGGAGTGTATTGTTCTTACCCATACTAATCTCTTTGCTGGGGTTAATGAGGTCAATTGATTGACCCCTGGAAATCTATTCTAGGTAAATACAGACTAAAAAGAGCCCTTCAGCCCAAACGGTAAGGTTTTTGAAAAGTCAAATGTCCCACCTGCTCCCTCCATTTATACAAATGAAGAAAACAAATTATTGTAAGACAAACATAAAGGATACAGCTGCAGTATACACATAGTAATAATAAATATTGCTCTTAAACAGCTTCCCTTCTTTTCTTTGAAATAATTATTGGTTACAAAGCCATATGCCATCTGTCTTTCATCTTACCTAGTATTTTAGTAACAACAATATGCTGAATAATAGCATGATGAAACACTATAATCTGTGTATAAAAATATTTACAAAACTCTTAAGTACAGTGGCTCTATTTAAACACTTATACCCTCCTACTTTATATCTCACTGCTTAATTTTAAACCGAGGGGGGCTGGGTCAAGTCCATTTATTATGAGTTAAACTGATTTGAAACTAGGCAATTAATCCTTACAATGCCATGCTATCTGCAAGCATGTTTTTCACGCTGTTTTCATACATTTCCCCTGGTAGTGGCTGGTACTGATAAAGAGAATTTGATTAACGATGAATACCTCTGTCACTCGCAGATCATTTTTAATCTCATTACCTGTACAGGTACCCTTGATTAAATAGGAGAAATTAGCTTCTGGCTACCCTTTGTTGTTATAAAAGCTAATTATAAATAATTTGTGTTGCAAGAAAAAAGCCAATCAGATGGGAAGTAGGTAAACTGTAATACATATAAATTAATTTCCGGTCTGGTAGTAACTGTCTATGGACCTTGATCTTTAATGTTATAGGTCAGTGAAATTTAGGCCGTATCCACCTGAATATGGACATTTTTGTAGTCGCATATTATTCATCCAGATTTGTGTTAACAGGGCCTAAAACCACCCTGGAAAGCAGTTTTAACCCTTTAGGTCCCAAAAGTGACCAACATCTATTTTCTCCTAACAACATCAGCAGATCATCAAGAGTAAAGGTTATGAGAATTACTAAATTGATTACCGAAGGGAGAATGCTAAGTTCTTAAACCAAATTCTCTCAACTATTCTTAAAAAAATGTATGGAGATCAGTATGGGGAATTTGTATGTGGATCTTGGGGCTTAAAAGGGTTAAAACAATGCAGTTTCAGTGTCTGGATTCACCGATTTTGTGTGCACAGAAGGCCAAATTTTTGTAAAAATGTTAAGTATCCGGATTCATGTGGACAAAGCCTTTCATCCTAAAATATTTCAAGTCTTGATGGTTTTCTTAGTTTGACATTAACATCCTACCATAATATAGCACAGAGGTTATTATAAAATGTTTCTTCTTCAAGGATTCTTCTACTTCTTTTTAACACCATTCTGTTTGCCATTGCTGTAAATGTCATCTTCTTCATCCCTTAGTTTAGATGCATCCCAGATTCTTAGAGATCCATCATTAGAACCACTATATAACTTTCTTCCAACAGGCTATATATAAAAAATGAGTTAAGATAGTAAATCAGGAGGTCATGAGTGGTTCTAAACCGCAATTATTTCTGTAGCATTATTTAGCAGGTGACAAGGGTTAAGTACTGTGACAACACAACAAGAGATTCAAACACAGCAAAAATGGCTAAAGCTGTTGCATGCAAAGGCAATGTGAGTGAAATTATTGACTTCAACGAAAGTGCTATTAAATTACTAGAGAGGTAAAAGTGCCAAAGACCGCCCTATGTAGAGACCCTGCCAGGGGTAATTCCGACAAGCGACATGGACCAAAAAGTAGCAACAGCAGGTAAAATGAAATCGACAACCTCCCTTGGCCAAATTACGCCAGTGACGGCAAAGCCAACAATAAGCGACAAGCATTTATAAACACTGACACAAGACGTTTTAAAATTCAGACGGGTGACATGGGACCCCCCCCTCCCCCTGGCATGGCCTCCATGTGCGATTGGTGTTGGAGACCACTGGCCAGCATTGTCTCATGTTTAACCCTTTAAACCCTTAGATCAAAATTTGAATTCTCATTTGTTGCCCCTATTCATTTCCTACAGAGGTAGTGGGGAGAAATTGATAAAATATCAAGCAAATTCTTCTTGTGTCATCATGTCTGTAATTCTCATGACCACTCTGTTTTAAAAAGCATTGATATTGCAAGAAGAAATTGCTGACCACTCTTAGGGCTTAAAGGGTTAAGCTTGCCTAAATTCCCAAGTTAAACACTGAAGCTCTATTTTGGACAGTTCCTAAAGTGTTATTAGCAGTTATTAAACCCAAGTGTTTGGTCAGTTTTTGGACAGTGAAGTACCTCTGGTGAAAACTCACAAACATAAAACCCTACTGGGGGCATTGACACTCTAATCGTTAAACAAATACCTTTGAAAAATTATGCATTTACCATTCAACAATATTTGCGTGATGCATCCTGGCAATGATAATCTGAACTTACCAGAATACAATTTATTGCACCCTCATGGCCTGTAAATGTCCTCTTGCATGTTCCAGATTTTGATTCAAAGGCTTTTATAGATTTATCACCACTTGCTGTAAACACTAAAAGATAAAATATTGATGAGAATGTAGAATTTGCAAGGATTATTATTTTGTTCATCCTTATAATATGTGTTTGTGTGTATTACTCAGGGATGTTATTAGTAGCCAGAAGCTGGCTTTTTCAGCAGGCCACTGTAGTAAAATCAACTTGCTACTCAAAGTTTCTAAATTAGTCAAACTTTACAAACACAGAAAAAAATTTAAGGGATAAATTCAACTGGTTACTCCTTGTAACAGACCGGCTTTTTAAAACCTTGCCCTGACTACTGTTTATTTCAATATTTTATGATTCCCCCTGAAGCATTTTTACGGCCATAGAACAGATTAAGAATGATCAAAGCGATCAGGCATTATGTTGGGATAAATTTGGCTCTGATGTAACTTAACTTGCAGTACATGAAACTGTCAACAACAGAGAGGATCAAGCCAGGTTTCATCCCTGTGGTTATCAGTTTTTCAAAAAAATTGTGATCTTGGGTATGGACCATGGCCTTTATTTTTTCTGCATCTGTTGAATGCAAATGCTTTACTTTTGGGAATTTTTTTTGCGAACTATTTGACAGTTTATTTCAGATATCAATGATTTCATAGGCTTGCTCCAATTACTGGCCTTAAGGCATCTCTTATACCTTAAAAAGATGTTTTTTAAAACCCCTTTCATTGTGTACAGACTGTACATAATGTAGCTCTTAGTTGAGAGATACAGCTGTAAATGAGGTTGGCATGAAAATAAAAGCTAAATCAAACAAATTTCACATGATTCCATTAAGGAATATAATCATGAACAATATGTGTTGCAGATGACATTGTCTTTCATTTTGATTAGTAAGTGTTAATGTTTATTTGACGTTGTGTGGCAGTTTGTCAAGTTTTAAATAAGTACTGGTCTCTACTTAAAAGCCTGGGAGCCTAATGGCGTATTTGTTTATCTCAAATTTGGACATTTTTACTCAAGAGCCATTATGGCCAAATTAGAACTTCTTTGCTAATATAATGTGGGGGTGGTTCATGAATATAATGTGACACATTTTACTATGCTAAGACAGAAACTAATCTGGTTAAAAGGATGGACTGACATTAATAATTAACGTTAGCACATTTTTGTTATTATAAAAAAGGAGAGACAATAAAGTTTGGTTATTGGGTACCCTATTACCTAGACAAAAAAATAAAATACTCTAAATGTGAGCTTCTTTAGGTCTAATTGGAACTGCGTTAGTTTTGTAACCATTGACTAGACATTACTTCTATCAGGGAAAGAATGCTTTTTGGCCTAAATAAACATCACCATGAGTGAAAATGTGAAATTTGAAACAATGCTGAAATGCTCACTACATACATAATATCAGTAAGTGATCTTTACCTTCAAATAATAATAATCCATCTCCCCTCCCTTAAGGGTGTGATTTTATTGTGTGACAAAACCTGTTCTCTTTTTGGTGGTGGTGGTGGGGGGGCGATGTACATTGTGTATTGCTTCTACCTTGGTTAACCTCTGGAAGTGTGCAGTGTCCTGTGATGGTAAATCTCAATGGACACTGTTTCAGAGTTGCAAATAGCGGCAGTCACTGTCAAATAATGTCCAGACCGGGGTTGTGCAAATGTTGGATATTGCTGTCTACCAGATAGATCACTGAAGTGTCCTGTGGTGGTAAATCTCAATGGACACTGTTTCAGAGTTGCAAATAGCGGCAGTCAGTGTCAAATAATGTCCAGACCGGGGTTGTGCAAATGTTGGATATTGCTGTCTACCAGATAGATCACTGCTCAGCAGGTATTAAGTATTAGGAAAACCAATTGCGCTATCCAGTGGATAGAGATTTATCCACCTTTTAAACAAGCGGGGCCAGATGTGTCAGATCTGATGGCAGAAGCTGCTTGTCGACTCTCATAAGTGGCCACCTTCCCAAGGCTTTTCGCATTTTTTTGGGCGGAGGGCGGGGGAATGACAAAAGGGTGGAGTAGAGCCCTGGTTGTGTACAGGAGATTTGGCTGTATTCATCAACCTTGTTAAAAAAGTTCCATGTTTTTATATCTGTCTGAACTTTAAGATTTAGTGCTCCTCTTTGTTGCATAGAATAGGGTTCTGCTAACATGCACTGTTGTCACACTGTAAAGCACTTCAAACATCATGCTCTGGATAAAAAACATTACCAAGTTGTAGTCCGATAATTGTTATGCTTATGTGTAAACTCTTTTTTATTTACTTACAGATGCCATCCTGGAAACTCATAACAATGACTGTGTGTTTGTGTCCTTTATACGTGCGTGTACAGTCACCAAACTCAACCACCCAACACTTTGCTGTATGATCTGCATTGCAGGAGTACATGAGCTTATTGACTACCTGGTGAGTTAAAAACAACGCAGTCATACATCGCAGCGTGCAATGAAAGTAGTGTCTAATAGCCCAGGGCTAGTGGATTTTGCTATTGGGCTGGTAAATTCTGTTCTAAACCTGCCCAATTGGCTAGCGAAGGTTGTAGGGGAATTCAAATTACAGAAGAACTGTAATCAATTCTGCCCATCAAAATTTTTTACCCCTTTTCATTGTACTGGCGCAAAGTGGGTGCTTAACAACATGGATGTTCATGGGTTAAGATGAACTCAACAAATTGGTCGGCTCCCAATGTATGGGTCTTCATAGCTCAGTTGGTAGAGCACTGCAGCGCTAATGCAGAGGCTATGGGTTCCAATCCTGTTGAAGTCCCGAAATTTTCACGTTAATTTGCCATTGCTTAAATTGCAATTTCTTAAATTGCAATTACCACTGTGATGATCATATGTATGCATGAACCTCATAGCAGAACTTGCTCTATGAGTGATCCAGGCCTCTTGGTGAAGTTTAGAAATAAATAAATATAAATTTAGGAACACATTGTTATTTTAACCTCTCTTCAATGCCCACTTTCTTCTTTCTGGTGTGGGAGATAGAGCTGTACATTAACTCTTGGTTTTAACACAATGACTAACTTATGCAATGAACGCTTTCTCTCAATCTCAGTGCAACTAAAACTTTCACTCTTGTTTAACCTGTCTACAGTGGCCACTTTTTTCTTTTAGGGGTTCTACTATTATTCTGAGTAAAATTCCAAATTTCAGTTTGTTAGGTTGTAAAGAATTGTTTGCAAACTTCAATTTGAATCAGCTTAAAGTTCTGTGGTCTGTGGTGTTTATGGTTCCCTAATTTCCTGTGGTGATAAACATCTATTTTCTACTGATGTTTTCCAAATACAATGTCAAACTGATGGGTGGTATCAATTTATTTGAATAAGGAATTTATCAACTAGATTAAGAATTATACATATTTTTCTGTTAATGATACCATAAATTAACATGCTTCAAATCCTCGAAGCATGGAATTCAAAACCCTTATTGCATTGTTTAAATAGGAGGAAATTACGTTTTTGCTTTTGAACTGAAAACCTTAAATTGTTGAATATTTAACTCAGCTAAGACTCTCTTCTCATTTACATAACAGAAATGTGAAATACATCAAACAAGAGCAGCTTTAGTTGGTCATAAGTAAATTACGAAGTGTGGAGACAACTGTCTTTCGCAGGGACAATTTATTAACAAGGAAACTCCAATCAGCTATCGTTATTAATTTGTGGATTTACATCGTTTTGAGTTCTTTGATTAAAAATTACATTCTAGGAGTCAATTTGGCCTAAATAACCAATGACTGAGAGCTAAAAGTACCCATTTAAAAAAAGAGTCTATAGAAGAGACTGACAAAAATAATTGCCTTTTTAGTGTAGGTGAAGATTGTTGTTAAGTGAAGTGTATGGATACAAAGACGTCAAATAGAATTTCCTAACTTCAGGGGAATCAACTCAGGTTGTAACGAAGAGATGCATACGCGATTCTATCAATTTAGTCGCTAAAAGATGGCTTCAGCTTTAAATTTCCGTTTCGATTTAGAAATTTCAAAACGAACATGCAGTTCTGAAAGCCACTCATGTAAACAGCTGAGGTTTCAAGGCAAGATCGATAATTAAGGAATCTTGTAAACACATTGGAGCAGTATCAAAAATAGAAACGTTTTTCTTTTTCTTTTTTCATCTTCTGTTCCCTTTTTATTTCTTTCGGTGCAAAAGATATCTTGAGGTGTAAATTGTATGCCGATGTATAACATTTAACAACCACAGTTTGCAGTGAGACAGGTACCTACTGTCGTCATACCATTATGAGTGACTGGTTTTATTCTTGTTTCCGCGGCAACCACTCTTTTTTAGCCAAAATTAATTAGGTAATGTATAAAGAAATGCATCATATTATATCTTTAAAACAAAATGAAAAGATACCGCAAAACCAAAACTAAAACAAAGTTATTAGTGTCGCCACTATTAGAAGTCAAGTAAACAGAATTTGAAACCTATGGCTAAAAGCTATTTTAAAATTTGGAACAACAACAACAATTTCGGCAAACAAGTGATTCGGGACTAGTTGAGACCTGCCGTCTGTGCTAAAGGCCATATTTTCTAACAGAAAGAAAAAAAGCTCATGATGTAATTATATTTCGAACAAGGTAGCATAACGACAGCTGTAGAGAGTAGGCGAATAGAGTCGAGACGAAAAGAAACGTCATTACCCAAAATTTGACGGAGAATTCAATTTAACAAGTCAAAGTAGTGATAAGCTACAAATGTTCTACTGGGGAGATCAAACGAAAAGTTAACGTTAGAGGTACGATTTTGAACTAGACAGGAGATAAAGTCATTACCCAAAATTTGACGGAGAATTCAATTTAACAAGTCAAAGTAGTGATAAGCTACAAATGTTCTACTGGGGAGATCAAACGAAAAGTTAACGTTAGAGGTACGATTTTGAACTAGACAGGAGATAAGCATGAAAGAAAATCGACACGGCAAGAAAAACAATTATTGAGGAAAATTAAACGCTATAAATAGCATAGGTTAGCGCACCGCTCCAATGGTGCATAAGAATACAAAATAACAAAACGTTTATCCTTCGAAGGCAAACGTAATATCATCCCGTGTTATTTAAGGGATCAATTCGCGTGTTATGGGCTTAAAACGGCTGTCTAAGTTCCAAAGAACCTTTCAGAATGATGACAATTCGATTCTCGCGGATTCGATGCTAAATAATTTCGGAGAAGTTTCTTCGATTCATTTTTGATATTCATTTCATTTAGGACAAGCGTTTCATAGGGAAATAACCGAGTTTTTATGAAATTAAGAATGTTACAGTTTGTAATTTTAACATACGTACCTGGATTTGAATCATCGCACCTTGATGGCCTGTGAAAGTTTTAAAAGGAGCCCCAGTTGCAAGATCCCATGAGCGAATCGTTGTGTCAGCAGAACCTGTAAATAAAGTCTTTCCTTTTCCATCTACCGCTAAGCAAGTTACCGCGGCTTGATGTCCTTTAAAAGTCGTCCTACATTCGTTTTCGTTCATTCCCCAGCTCTTTGCTGTACCATCCACAGAGCCCGAAACGAGAATATCATCGTTGTTTTCCATATCAACAGCCGCAAACTCCGCTCTTCTATATGACTGCGAAACAAGAAGAAGCGTATTCACAGATAGTCTGTGCCCGCGAAAAGTTCGAAGGCATTCACCCGTATCGGCGTGCCAGCACTTAATTGTCTTGTCGTAAGAGCACGAAAACACTAAATCTCCCGAGCAGATGACTTGGTTCACTGTCGACTGATGCCCCGTGAATACCTTTATTAACACTCCGCTTTCCAAGTTCCACTTACGAACGGTCTTGTCGGCGGAGCAAGTGAAGATGTACCTTTCCGAGACACAAACGTCTTTGATGTACATCACATGTCCCTGAAGCAGTCCTACACACTCATCAGTCTTTGTGTCCCACAGTCGACCGGTTTTGTCTTCAGAAACTGTGATGAGAGTGTTTCCATCGGGGCTCAAACACATTGCATTTATTCCGCCAGTGTGCTCCGTCAAGCATTTCAACTGGAAAGTCTTCTTTCCTTTCTTCTTTTTTTCAGCCGGTGTTTCGCTTTGTTTTTTTGAAATACCGCTTCCCATTGTAAGATTGAGGAGGAGCTCTTATTATTTCCCTAGTTGGTGGAACACGCTAGAGCAGGGCGAGTTATATTTGGCAGCCATTATGTCTTTTGAATATTCGGCGATCCGATCGGAAGCAGAAACATACTGATAACATAACGAGCTCTTAGGAGTAATGTAGGTTGTAGGCGCTCAAAACGTGACTTAAATCGCGCTAGACCAGTTCTCAAGCCCCGAAATCTCACGGTAAGCAAGCTCGGAGAATTGCACTGTTTCACGACCAGCGAGCGAGAAGCATACATTAAAAAGTAGGCAAACACTGTAGAGCCGTCTCCTTCTATATGTTTCCAGAGTTACAGGAATTGTTAATGAGCTCCACACAATGCAGTTTAATTAGAGGAGTTGCTATAGTAAGAAGACTTGACGTTATTGGTCAGGGCCGAGCTCCAAATTAGAGTTTTCCTGTCGAGGTGTCTAATAGGGCGTAGTTTTTGTATTCGGGATAATGGCATTACTTTTAGGGGGCATGGTTAGCTGGAATATGATTCGTTTTGCATCAACCTGCGAAGACTTGAAGTAATATGAATAGACGTCATTGAAGCAACTGGCTTCCATGAACAGCTTGTGAATGTAGACTGTCAAATAAAATATAAACAAGGTGCAGTAAATAATAGAACAAATATTCTTTACAGTCGGTTTTTTTGTCCTTTCTCGAAAAAAATTTGGCTAAAATGTTATTCAGTCGTACTTAATATTCATTGCTTAATGTTTCCATGCTGCGAACTGTTGCGCAGTCATGTAATCCTTGCACGCACGCCGGGGATGTTTTCGAGTGAATATATTTCAGTCTGATAAACAATTCAGAAGATCATACAGTCATGAAGAAAATTTAAATATTTTTCTGCCTTTTAAAATTAAGTCATTTCTGTATTGTCAGGACCACTGCGTCAAAAAACGCAGCAGATGATTATGTGGAATGGTTTCCTGTTTGTAACAATTTATTAGCTTACACAACTGATATGTCCGTTAGTAGCGGCTACCTCGTTTAATTGGAGCCGTTCTGGCCAGAAATTGCTGTTAACTAAAATCATGATAGAACTCAGTTCATCGGACTATATTTCCTCTTACATCTGCTTTTTTAACCGTTTCCGTGCCAGAGTAGCAAAACTATCATCCATGTTTAAGTAGCCATATCTTACATGTGCTGGTGAACCTTTTTCCATCAGAAGTAACATAATCGTATTCATAATCTCCTATGAATAACAGTTTTAAGTCAATCTTTCGTGGGCAATCATGATTTTATTGGAAACAAGTTCCACTTTTCTCCGAATAATGGTAAATCGCTGACAGATTACGTGCCTTATTTGCATCCCTTTTAAAACAAAAGAGGGATAAAAGTCGTGTACTTCGTGACTCCCCCAGATACTTAAAGTTGTTGTGTCATGTTATGCGAAGAATCTTAGCAACATCCGCTCATAAACCAGGGCTTTTTGTTCTCGACTGTGTTAGCAACAAGCAATAAACAAATTTGCGATCAAGTTGCAGTCAAAAATATATTTATACTCTTGGCTGTTATAACTTTCGCGATCGAAAACTGAATATTCTGGGAGATAATTTCTTAACATTACCTGTCTGTTAAAAAATCGTATTGCAAACTGTGGCATGATATATACTATTTTTTTACGTGGGCTAAGGATTATTCATACCCTTTACAACGATTAAAACATCACTTTCCCCTGCATAAGTTCTAACGTTTTCTCTACTATTTTCATGCTTATTATTATTTTATTTTTTCTTTTTCGTTTGAGCCAAAATTTGTCATTCAGCTTGTGTTAATGAATGTGTTAACACGTAATCAAGTCTTATTGATGTTTTGTCATTGAATTTTTATAAAAATTCAAGCACCTGCTCAGTGCTTTGTTTTGCTCGCCCTCCTACATTTTCAGTGCTCAAATGCGGAATTATAACAAGCAAGTTTCAGTAAAAAGGTTACATTTGTGTCGAGTCAACATCGACCAACGTAATGCCGTAAGCCGTGATATTATTGTTTGTGACATTTGCTTGGGATGAAACTGGGATTACCGGGTGAAAGAAAAAAAAAAGATTTAAACCCAAACAAAACCAAACAAATAAACACAAAATCTACTGAAGTACACAACAAATAGTAGAACAAAGAATCACAAAAATGATGAAGAGCCACCTAGTGGAAATACTGAATAAAGCCATTATTGTTGTTGTTGTTGTTNACGTAATGCCGTAAGCCGTGATATTATTGTTTGTGACATTTGCTTGGGATGAAACTGGGATTACCGGGTGAAAGAAAAAAAAAAGATTTAAACCCAAACAAAACCAAACAAATAAACACAAAATCTACTGAAGTACACAACAAATAGTAGAACAAAGAATCACAAAAATGATGAAGAGCCACCTAGTGGAAATACTGAATAAAGCCATTATTGTTGTTGTTGTTGTTATTATTGTTATTATTATTATCATTATTATCATTATTATTTATAATGAAGAGCAACAAAACCGCAGCAAAAAACAGATAATTACTGCTGGATCTCTTGGAAATTTGGATTTATTTTGCAATAGGTTAAAATAAAATAATTATGATAATGATGATGATGATGATGATGATGATGATTATGATGATGATGATGATGATGATAATAGCATCAACAACATTATAACATTGCGGTGCTAAGCGATTGGAACGTTGAAATTAAAGAGAGAAAGAAACAGGAAAAATATCAAGGCATTGCAAGGGAAATATCTAGGCTTTGGAGAACAGAAACAAAAGTATTATCAGTCTTTGTGGGAGCTCTGGGAGTGATACTAAAAAAGGAAGTAGGAATACCAAATAGGGTCAGAACTTCTTAGAATGACTACCATTTTGAGAGAGGTTCTTGACGTCTGCTGTGTTGGGATGGAACCAGAGTAAGGGCCTGTTTACATGGAGGTGGGGTACCCCAGATAGGTCAGGTAACATGTGGCGGGTCACCCCATCTATCATGTAAACCTGTTGCAATTAAAATGAGAGATTATATGGACAGGCGCGTTCCCCACCCAAGCGGTTTACCTCACCTACCTGAGGTCCCGCACCTCCATGTAAACAGGCCCTAAAAAGAGCCTTCTTAGGGCGAAGGACTCCGTTGAGGAAATCCTGCTGTGACCACTCAAATGAAACCTCTTTGTAGGTACTTTCAAATGATGCTGTTTCTGTTTTGGTATTTGCCTAAATGAAATATGCAATTTTTGTCTAATCTTGACTTTAGCTAGTTCTGGGAGTGAAAGAGTTAAAAAGAGGAACATTTACGCTCTCCGTACCTTCCAACGTTCGAGTTTACTCCCTTCCCAAAGTTAACCCTCATATCAATATGGATATTCTCCACACCGTACTCCATACATTTCCTGTAGTACTGTTAGGGAGAGTTAGTTCAACAATAAAGACCCGTTCACTTATTGATCATCTTCTTCTCACAAGCTCTTTATTTATTTGAGCAGTATTGCTATAAAGAGAAATTGAAATTGGTCATTCTAAAGGGTAAAACTTGTCATAAGTTCGTTGGAAGAAAACTGATAGAGTACTTTTTCCCTCCTAAACGGATGGCATTCAGAACCCTTTCATCTCAAACTATCCTTAATCCTTAATGTTTTCATATTTTAGCAAAATGCGATTTTGAGGTCTCCTTCAATTTCCAGATAATTTTGCACGCTCTTATTAATTAATTCTTCCTGTTAGCCTGTCGGTGGTCGCACGTTTTGAATTTTTTACGGCCGTACATGAACTGTTTTTAAGAAGCTGTTCAGATGAAGCCTCTCAGGGAGTCCTTCCTTCGTGGTACCCTCTATTTCTTCGAAGTTTCCAAAAAATACGATTTTTTTTGGAATTTTTTTGTTTGGTTCACTCGTGATTGTGAAATAGAGGGTTTACGCTGAGAAACCTGTTATCCACAGTTTCGGGCTTTAATGGTTTCTCGATTAACTTGCGACGTGACCAATTAGCCCAGTGTTGTTTGACATTTGTTATGGTTTCTTTCTGTATAGTGTGCGCAACGTCTAAGTGGTGGGTTACTTGCCGTCAAATCACTAAATTATATATATTAGTGGCTGAAAGCAAGATATTTTTAAAACTGGCAGTAACACGAAAGACATATGGACTGTTTTATTTGGTACGGTAAAATGTGTTAAGCTGACCGTATTTTAAGCGAATACAAACTTAAGGATGTGTCAGACTTTTCTTAGAGTATTTTCTGTAAAACAAACCTGTATTCTTCGTTCGCCATTGAAGGGGGGGGGGGGGGGGGGGG